GGTGTTTATACATACAAAAGTACTTCGAAAGCATGGAAACAAATATTAAGTCGAACGAGATGAAAACATCGCCTGCTTTCCGAATAAACATTCAGCAAAAACAAATATGTTTACGTTGATTCTATGTTATGTCAGAATAGATCCAGCAATAGACTGCTACATAATTTCCGTGTTAAATTTATTATCAGCTTTCGTCAACGATATCGCCACTGATCTTGATCCGGTAACGGATGCCGGAGGATGCATAAACATCGAACGCCGAAGAAATTTTAATGCCTTCCGTCCACATAAATAAACAGTTGGGTTATCAATTCAAACAAAATGATATTTTGAAATTTGTACTGTTTCAAATTTAGCGGTAGTAAAACACAATTACAGAATCTGCAAACCGTTCTGTTTAGCCCAACATATTTTTTTTCTAAAAGTATAATATCGTTGAAAAAGTTATTTAGCTTAGTCATGATCCCTCTTATCCATTACACTGCTTGATCTAAAGTAGTCTATTAAAGTATAATTAATTACCTTACCGTGTTTATGCCAGAGGTACACCCTCATGTCCTGATCCATCCTTTCGGAAATATCACCACAAATCTGGCTCTTTGTCAACAGACTCGCGAACATGCCAGCAAATCCGATTCAATTTGAATTCACTACACTTTGAAGCCACTAGGTCACAAAACACTTTCCAAAATGTAGAAAATAATATCCGTAGAATCGAATTTGAGCACAAAGTATGTAAGAGTCACCACAGCTGTCCCACGCAGACGTAGAGGTGCGTGAAATCGTCAAGTTGACAGGGCGCAAAATTCAACAGTATCTAAATTCGGTACAACACGGACTTCTCAAAAGCGCCTCTACTCTTAAATTTTGTACCAGTACCAGTAATTAGATATCAAAGACTATCTCAGTCATACAATCAGGTTAACCTTGCGCAAACTGTCAAAGGCTCTCCTGTCGCATCTTTCCAAATTTGCACGTAAATGTAAACAATGACTTCCGAGAAAAGGTCAAGGCCATGAGGTTGCTGCCATTATTCTGGTGGGGAAAGGGTCTACGGTGGAATTTTCAAATGTGAACCAAGCTTTTTAAACTTATTTGATATATGTTTTCCAACTTATCAGTTAATGATTGGTGATTGATGCATTAAAAAAAAACAACGTGATTTGTTATTACTGAGTATGGAGTTTGTTAGTCATTGACGATTTGCCACCAATCACCCCGTTTCGGGCGATGCCACTTAAGACTGGAATGCGAGGCCGCTTCACGTATTGACTCGTAACCAAAGAAAGAGCTCCACCTGAAATTGTTCATAAAATTGTCATGGTAGAATGGAGATAAACCTACTGTGTTGGAAAATCAGAGGTATATAACGAAATTATAATAGCTCTAAATTGTTCATTTAAAACCTCACGCTACGCGTTCGGTTTTAAATGAAATTTAGAGCTATTATAATTTCGTTATATAATAGCTCTAAATTGTTCATTTAAAACCTCACGCTACGCGTTCGGTTTTAAATGAAATTTAGAGCTATTATAATTTCGTTATATACCTCTGATTTTCCAACGCAGTAGGTTTATCTCCTAAATATGCACCTAAATGACGGCTTTTATCACGTTCATGTCAAACGCGCCCTACAACACAAGTGGCTTCGTCATCATGTCAGTCGGTTCGTGACAATCACGTGAACAACATCAATCATCAACAGAAAAAGAATAATCCCTATGTTCATGGTGGTTTTGGCATAATAAATATCCATCCACCAGCTTGAATTAACTAAACACATGTTATTGCTTTGTAAGCATATTGGAGCTGAACCTAATCAGCATCTCTGATGTAGTTAATAGGACAATTTAAACATACAGAACAACAGTCATGATGATATCTGATATTTATATTGTCACAATGTTGTTACAAGTGTGTTCAATTACATATTTTGTGTTTGGGTTTAGCGTTTGTGTCCAGATTCCTGCGTTTGTGTTCGGGTTTTAGCTTTTGCTTACATCAAATTCTTTGATAAAGTGAGGACACTATTGATTGTCTATACCCATTGCGTCAATGTATGCAAAACTGTACATTGGATTATGAAATGCATGCACAAAATAATAAATTAATTTCAATGTTTTTCTATGATATGTTACTGAATTGCATTCAAACCAATTAGAAGACAAATATGACCCCATGTGTCTCAAGGGGCGGGTGGTAGTCTATCGGTTAAAGCGCACGCCAAAAGTGAATGAGTGAGTTAATAATTAACGTCACATCGGCAATATTTCAGCAATATCGTGACGAGAAGAATTTATATTTCAATATTAAAATCAATACAATTGAAACGTAAAAACCTGTCATCGAAGGACAGTGAAACTAAAAGAGTATCACAGCGCTTAATCTAAAACTAGTACGCCATCATAAAAAAATAAATATCTGTAGACAACAGTACAATATAAAAACGGGCTATAGATCACCAGCAACTGAGGCTGATCACCATACTAGGGGCCATGGGGAATTACAGTACATGCTACCTGCATCGACCCTAGATGGATTTATATAAACTCTTCAGCACCTGGCGATTGCAGTCAAAGTTAGCCAAAATTGAAATGACAAAAATTAAATACTACAATCAAAAGAAAATCTGGTATTTTTAAATTTCCTTTGAATGTTTCGTGACTTACGTACCCTCTCAGGAGGACAATACTTTTACACTACTTTAAGCCCCCTTGAGGATACAGCCACTAACAGTCTAAGATACTAATATAATAATATAAACTACCAATCATTAAAATACACCCATCTGCAAAACATATTAATCAAATTTTTCAATTAAATCAATTTTATTAAAAAGACCATAATTAAATGAAAATTAACAGTAGTAAAATATCCTTAACAGGTTTTACATTGAAATCCCTTTTGAAGGAAAAATCAACACAGTGAGGCTTGACAGTTATTCTCTCATCGCAAGGGATACAAAACGGAGGATCCTCACCTTTTAATAGGTATTCGTGATTATATTTTGCATGGGCAATGTGACATCGTCGCATAATGACCTCTTCAAATCAGGACTGATAGCCCAAGTGGGTATAACCAATATAGGGTTTACTTCATGTAATTTATTGATACCTACTTGGATCTTCCACTTCTTCTGCATCAGATCACGGATGTAAGATCTTATGACAGCTGTACAGAGTATGGCATGAATAGCAGCAAAATTGGCCAGCTTGGCTGGGTAATTAACAGAGGACGATGTCGAATTCGCCAGTAGCAAGATCATTTTATAATTTAATAATTTCAATTAAAAGTGCATGTTCAGAAGACAAACTTTTAATAGCCTAAGGCAGCAAAAAGAGTATATTATGTATTGTTTATATTTCAGAGCTGTTAATGTGGCGTTTGCTTCTGCTGTAAAAATAGCGCTGTTATCCGCTATTCTGGAAGATATTGTTTTGGATCCATAATGACAATGGCACAATCCACTGCGCCACAATGCTTGGACCCATCTGTAAATAAGGATTTGTATGTATTATATTTACTTTTTTAATTGATTATATTCCTGTTTTATTGTAATTCATTAGTTTCTGATGTTTTAAAGGTTGTCTGTGCTTGGGCAACTTCTGGATTCACTAATTGTCAAGGAGGAGAATAAAAAGGAGGGAAGGAGGTGTATTTTTTAGCTCAATGCCAGCAGCAGAAAGGAAAGGTTTGACTCTTAGTCCCAGAGGCAGACTAAGAGAGACGACTTCTTGTTGTACAGATCCTCGTAAAGAGAATTATTAACACAGTTATATGTAGGGTTAGACGTGTTAGAATATAGTTTAGTGATATATTGTAAGGACAATTTGATACGGCGTTGGTTAAGAGAGGGTTCATCGGTCTCGGCGTTGTGACTGTCAGCATGAGATGTACTAAAAGACCAAAGACCAAGTCTTAGACCTTGATGATGGACAGAATCTAAAAGTTTAAGATCGCTGTTACCGGCTGTACCATATACAGTGGGGCCGTAATCGAGTTTCGAGCGCTTGAGAGATCGAAAATTAGACTCATGAACTTGGCCCGTAACGCCAAAGACATTGATTCCGGACGTGTACAATGTGCAAAGTTCTTTTAGTGAGTGAGTGAGTTTAAATTTAATGCCACGTCGGCAATATTTTATTTAATATAAAATAAATAAACAACGAGCCTCGAAGGACTATAAAATGACTAGTGTATCACATATGGTGTTTTCAACTAGCATGTAAATCTAAAACTATTTTACTTGCGAAGAAAATACAATATATAAACAAGCTATAGATCTCCAGCAGCTGAAAGTAGATGACCATACTAGGGACCAGAGGGACTTACAGTATAGTTTATACCTGCATGGACCTAAAGTACATTGGGGGTGTCTCCCGACTTGTTTTACTGGTATATCGCTAACAGCGACATAAACCAGTATCATATCACTCATGTGTCGCAAACGATGTTAGCAAACGGATTTGAGAAATATATCTACTTTAACATAGAACGTCAGTAAAATGATTACTCAGTCTTGATTCTCCTAAGAAACCAATTCCGTTTTGTGTAAAGGGAACATTAGCTGTGATTTTTTTAATGAAAATCAGTGATGACACCAGGTGTTCGCGATAAGGGTAAGCGTGCCCGGCCCTGCTACCCACCATTCACAAAACGGGCTTAATATAGAAATATTTTGGTCTGATGCTGCAATAGCCTTCCTGCCATGCGACGATCGTCTGAAATGAAACCAGACGATAGAGTGATCGATAAACCAGAAGTCTAGTCAGATAACTTGGAATTACGATTGCAGCGTAGAAGACCATATGTTGCGATGCTCATAAGTAAATAAAAACCCACGACTGGAATTGAAAAAATAAATAATATCGACAGACGGGTTTGAGTGACTGATTATTATTCCAAACTTTATGCAGCACATTTGTCATGGATCCACATGGTTGCTTATTAACATTTTCTTAGAATTATAACCTATCAGACACACAGTATGACTAACAAATTATGTTAATAAGAGGCCATGGAGTGCATACAAAAACGGACCAGATGACAAAAAGCAAACACATTCTGAAAAGGTCTTCATTGCCTCGTACCATCCACAAGATGAGCATGTCTACACAGACAGGTGTTCGGCTAGGGTTTCTGTTTTGATAGCATTGTTGGATGTAAGTATGTAATGGAATCCTCTATTTACTATACACAGAATGTATGAACTGCTCCCTCACAAGGCTTTATACATCCTTAGAAACAATGCTAAAGGATCCCCTGTCCTTTCATATTACTCTTGTAAGTCTCTATCTGATCACCGATGCTTGTCCATACTGCACGCATAAGTAACAATTCCATCTCATTTCTCATTTTCATTGTTTCTCCACAGGGCGTGGTTGACAGTTGCTTTGGACCGGCACTGCGAGATCTACAGTGTACATTCAACGTGACACTACAGAAGGTCAGTCTACTCCACCCTGTCATTACAGCAGGTAGGGTGTTAGGTACACTGCTTTTTTTGAAAATCCCAAGTCGTTTCAACACCTACCGAGTAGCAGCCACTACTATGGCCACAACGTGTTTGTATGTTTGCTGCTGTGCCTATCATCCCCATATTTTGTAACGAACTAGTCTTGTCTGGCGGAGTTGGACTGGCCAATGGAATAACAATATATGGTATGTTCCAAACGCAAAGAGACAAAATAGTGAAAGCAAACGATAGTTTTCATTGGTAATCAGTGATGACATCTGCCACTCATAAAACGTTAGAAAACGTGAGACTATAAACAAATGAATATTATGTGGAAGGATACTGATACGTACCAACTAAACTGTTATCTGACATATCATTCAGTCTCCACTAACAAGCGCGCAGCACCACTATTTTGTAGCGCTCTATTGAAATATCCATATGAGCCACTAGTTATTGTTGATTTTCATGTAACAGAGTCAGATCTGTTTGAATGAGAAAAGCAATGGCAATGTTTCCACAATTGTTTATTATACAGTTGTCTGGAGTAGGCCAAACATATGACATAATGCTCTCGCCAGAGCACCCTTTGGTATACATGGACAGTCTAAAATCGCATCTTTAATCAGCATGAGCCAGCTGGCGACACGCTCTGTATTAAATAAAATATATAGGCCTTTTTCCTCGAAAACTTTATAGCAATGACAGCAAATAATGCGATACGGCTATTACAAATGTTGTGTGTTTGAGTGTAACTGAGTGTTGTTAATTAACACTTATTTTCAAAGACTCTGAAGGCCTGTAGAGAGGCAAAACCTTTTGATTTACCCATATTATGTAAAAACATTTCATGTTTACAGTTGGATAATGACAGGTTTTGCTTTTCATCTGATTTTAATGCTACCCAGGGAATCCAGAATTAATGGAAACGGACCTTCTTCACTGCAACACTCTCATCTTGCTTAGTTCATACAACCTGATAACAGCTGATAACATTTTATACATGTCTAACAAGAACCCAGAAACGATCGTCAATGACATATTATACCAACAGAAACGTTACACTTTATCTGTACTACAACAAACATGTGAACTTCCCGCTGAAATTACACTTACAAGTTTGTGGGGGGACTGTGATCAAAAAGGGTAGATATCAACACATTATGGTCATCATATTTCCTTTCTGGTATACAGGGTGCTCCTTGATTTGTTGTTTAGCATGGATGTTTGCAGAGTTAATAGAATGCATTTCTGACCTAGCGTTTCTGGTTGTTTTTTTAAATTTAAAAAAAATGAATCAATTAAGTGTAAAGCCACATCCAAATGATTTATGAATATAGATCCAATCTGTAGAAAACACATTTCTGGACTTACATACATATTTCATGCTATTTCAAAGCACCAAACGCTCTTTGGCGTTTCTGTTCAATGGAGTTAGTTTGAGAATAGACCTAGCAACGGCCCCTGTGATGGAATTGGTGGAAAAGTCAAGCGCATTTCATCAGAGTGAGTGAGTGAGTTAATATATAACGTTGAATCGGCAATATTTCAGCCATATCGTGACGAGAACATTTGATATTGAAATGAAATATATGTATATTACAAAACAGTAAAACAACTAGAATATCACAATTACAACTATAGCTAGTATGGAGAGTTAAAACTGATAGCACTATTTGGACAATACAATATAAAAACAAGCTATAGATCGCCAACACCAGAAGGTAGATCACCAAACTAGGGACCATGGGGACTTACAGTACCTTGGCTACCTGCATGGACCCTAGTTGGAGTTACACCATCCCTTCAGCTGCTGGCGATTGTAAGAAATGTTAGCTACAATTAAAAAGACAAGAATGCTACGTCTAAAAATCCTGGCAAGTTTGAATTGACTTTGAAAGTTTGGGGACTTACGTACCCTCTCAGGAGGACAATATTTTTACGCTACGTCAACCCCCTTTGAGGGTACAGCCACAAACAATCTTAGTTATTAATATAAAATACCAACAATAAAATATTTAGCTATTTACAGATCAGTCAACAAATCTAATTCTTTTAAAAATTCAACTATTAAATGATAATTAACATTATAAAAAAGATCCTTCAATGTTTTGACATTAAAATACTTATCCCTTGAGATGGAATATTCAACACAGTCAAGCAGGACATGCTTGACTGTGATTCTTTCATCACAAGGGATGCAAAACGGAGGATCTTATCCTTTCAGTAAATATTCGTGAGTATATCTAGTGTGGCCAATGCGACATCGTCGCATAATGACCTCTTCAAATCTGGACTGACAACCCAAGTAGGTGTAAACAATGTAGGGTTTTATTGCATGTAATTTATTAATACCTACTTGGGTGTCCCACTTCTTCTGCATCATTTCATCAGAAGCTGGAAAACAGATCATGTAGGACGCAAACGATCCTTTTCTTTGGCTGAGCAGAATCAGAAGGCAATTAGATATATACTAGGCACATGAACAAACTGTGCATACAAAAATTTAAAATCTAAATTTATCAAACCTGTGTAGACACATAAGGATTTAAACTCAGAGATTAGTGACATGTATCCAACATGCATGCACGTGCCACGTTCCGTGACATCAGTGGGTTCGTCCTTGAGACGTGCAATACGTTGTTGCACGTGCATTCCGGGAGAGAGAAACAGAGCAAATGAATGCCACACAATACTGTCACTTTGGAAAGCTCAACCCTTGCCCTTGCGATCATTAAAAAAATCAAACGGCTATTGAAACGCATATCATGCCAAGGCTCACGTCTGCACAACGTCATGCGGCCATTGGGATGGTCCGTGGGGGAATGTCGCAACGACAAGTGGCTGCACATTTCCACTGCCACCGGAACACCATTTCTGCACTGGTGAGACGCTACCAGAACACAAATGACGTCATCGATCGGCCACGTTCTGGACGTCCATGTGTAACTACGCCAAGACAGGACAGATGGATGAGGGTGACCCATCTTCGCCACAGGTTTCAGACTGCAGTGATGACTGCCCAAACCATCCCAGGTCTTCGCCGTATCCACCCCAACACAGTTCGACAACGTTTACGTCATCACGGGATCAGACCACGACGTCCCACCATACGGCCTATCCGGACACTACGTCATCGACAAGCTCGCCGAATGTGGTGCCGAAATCATGTCCGCAGACCCTTGTTTTGGTGGAGAAATGTTGTTTTTACAGATGAGTCCAAGTTTAACATTTCCCATAGTGATGGACGTCAACGTGCCTATAGACGCGTGGGAGAACGTTATGCACAGGTTTGTGTCTTGGAGAGGAATCGCTTTGGTGGTGGTTCCGTGATGATTTGGGGTGGAATAACAGCACGCCAAAGAACTCCTGTGGTGATTGTTCAGGGCAACTTAACTGGTGTGGGCTACAGGGATCAGATTCTTCGACCTGTGGCAATTCCTTTTCTGCAACGTCATGGCCTTGGGTTAACATTCCAACAGGACAATGCCCGCCCTCATACGGCAAGGGTTGCTATGGAAATCTTGCAACACCACATTTTTGACTTACTGCCTTGGCCTGCAAATTCACCGGATCTCTCCCCGATAGAGCATGTTTGGGACGAGATGGATCGACGTCTACGCCGTCTTCCTCCTCCGCCAGATGACGTCCTTGACCTTGCAACAGAACTTGAGAGAATCTGGCGTGACATCCCACAAGCCTTCCTTGCACGTTTGATAGGCTCTATGCGTCGTCGATGCACTGCTGTTCTCATTGCCGATGGTGGACACACCCGTTATTGAGCATGTGACATGGTCGTTTGACCCCTGTCCCGCTTGTGGACTCGTGACGTCATTGTGATTGACTTTTCAATTGAAATTCACCCGACTTGTTATGGTCTCATGATCCCTTCATTAAAGTTTATATGTACCTTTGACATTGTTATCGTACTTATCAACTGGGATGATATTTGGACAATGCACATTTTCTTTATGTGGCTAGTATATATTTCATTCGTGGGCAGACTATGACGCAACAGCTTGACTACTGGTCAAGCCAAACAGTGAAACCAGTCAGTGGTTCAATGACTGTTTATGCCATACGGAGTTAAGCAGCTGAGGAGATCACGGTGGCAGTTGGCTTGAGAAATCTTTGCTTATATATGAATTGCACGAGGATCACGCTTCAAATTGCTGAAAAACATGTTCAAATATCGTGCATGTAATCAGCGGGGTTTGGGCGTAAAGTCTTGTTAAGAATTCGCCAATTTTCAGAGGTTAATTTATTGAATTTGTAAACAGTATGGAATATCTGGCAAAATTTAGTTAAGAACGGTTGCTTTAACTAAGACTAGTGGTTATATTTACACAGGTGAGTCTAATCTTTGGAAAGGAAGTATAGTAACAGAGACGTCTCAGTGGAAGCTGAAATGTTCAGTAGCAAAAATATCCTGAAGATAATTCTTGTCTGAAAACATGGACTGTTATGCTAAATCAGAGCATTTCTTGACACATCGTGGAAAATACCATTGTCTTCTTCAAAATACTTGCTTTGAACATTTTACCAATAAATTACATATTTCGTGCGTACCTGAAGTACTCTAAAACACTTAAAATCTTTTGTCATAACTATTTTACAAATATCCTTCGCCCAACTACCTTTCAACATTTATTTTGCTACCTCACCATACCAAAGTCCGGCTGATGTGTCAGAAGTTAGCCCTTCATGAATAACAACAAGTGCTGTTGTGCTTATTGTGCAAGATCTGATCTGATGCCAGATTCTAACTGTCCATATCACTTGAGATTATTTTATGCTAATGTACATCATATATGCATACTATTCTGTTGTATCCTTGGTTCTCCTCTCCAGTGAGTTGAGTAAAGAACACGCTGCATCGATTCATATCATCAACCTGGCAATAACTGCAGGACAATTTGCAGGACCATTGGTTATCTCCCAGTTTCCATCTGACAATGTCTATCATCTTCGCAGTACCACTCACAACGGATCAATATATTATTACACCAATTCAACATTTGTCTCACAGAATAACAGTCTACATCCAGAAAAGGAATTCTGTCACAGTTTTAATTCTCCTGTAATGTACGGATTTTTCGCTATAGCTGGATTAGGATGGCTTCTTGGTTCTTTCTATTTACTCGCACACAAGTCGTTTCAAGATGACATAAACACGAACGAGAACCAGCTCAAGGAAAATGGTGTCAGCACAATTAGTATCACTGACAGAATATATTTATTCATTATAATGATATACACTACAGTCTGTGGGAATATCTTTGTCTATGGTCAATTCTTACCAACGTTTGGCATTCACAGTAGATTACATGCAAGTACAAGAACAATGGCAAGTATGTCCATTTCATTTTATGCCTGCATGATGATTGGACGTTTTCTTGGCACATTGTGTAGTCTATTTATATCACGATCTGTACTGATAAATGTCGGCACAGCTGGGGGCATACTGATGTCTGTTACATTATGTACGTATCCGAAATAAAAATCACATGCTTTTGGATAGGGACTAGTATTGTATCAGTGGTTTGTGGCCCTGTCTTCCCGGCAGTTCAGACGTGGGCTCTTGATAATAGTGCGCTCAGAAAAGTATTGTATAGTATATCTGCCATAGTGGTTATGATAGGATATGCTGGCATGTCTCTCCTGACTGGACAACTGATGTCAACCATCTTTGTACAAATGTTAAACTATGTGATGTTTGTGGTATCTTTAGTGCAACTTTTATCAATTGTGTTATTATATTTGATAATGTGTAAAACTGTCAAATCACAGAATCAAGGATATTCAAATATTGAGTGAGATTGTTCGAGGTGATTCTCGTGGTATAGGACCTACCCCAAAGCCTGTGCTGGCCGTGTGAAGTGACTGACATGATCAGACGGCCAGGTTCAATGGCGTTATTGATTGCATATCATGACGACACAGTTCAGTCGATACCTGTTTGTGATACGAATTACTGCATCAAACGCTGTTGTTTTGAGATCACTACAATGTATCTGACATTTTTCTGGTTTAAGGAACATAATGGATTTTTCCTTAGGCTATCAGTATCCGTCACTTTGAACATTGCACTGTTTTGTCTCTTTCGACGTATTAACTGTGATAGTAAGTGTAGCCGCCATATTAAAAGTGCCGCCTTATGAAATTTTGTACAAAAGCTGATCAAATCAAACCGAAAAATCATCGAGACAATCTGAGTGATTCTATTGCTACTCAAGGAAGAACTACGCTGACTATGAAGAATCGCCATCCGACGTGTGTGTAAGTGACAGAGGATTGTCTGTTGCATTCACTAACAATGTCGAGAACATTGGCCACTCGGTCCTTCTCTGTCTTTTGTCAACTTGAACATTTTCAGGTCTTAACACATATGGAAGAGAGTTTTTTGTTGTCGGTACTTATTGCTAATTATTTTGCTCTGGTTTCTCTTTGTTCAGGCCTCTATTTGTTAATCTCCATTGTGTTTATCAGCGCTAATTATCTGTTGGGTGTTAGCGTCCATTCAGCGCTAATTAACTTGTAGTACTGGCTTCGAATTGTTCAATTGGGTCAACCTGCATCTTTGTTGTCTTATTACTTCTGTTGTTCTTACATGTACATATATATGCTGTCTGCCTCATACTATTCATTCGCCGGATGAAGGAGTAAGGATATACTCCCAAACGTTGTATTCTTCACAATATTTTAGATCGGTATTCGACCTTCTGCAAGAAACTTGACTGTTGTCCCTAATTTTACGTTTTATGTTCCCTCTTGTTTGTGTTTGCACCGAGACCTAATGCATGCGCTAGGCTATATATTGTAAATCGATTCGTAAATACGTGTTAGCGGGCTTCACACTCTTGACTTCTTTAAAGAAAGTAGTCCGTATTATAATATTGAAAATATGTACGTTTATCTCTCTTAGCTGGGTTTTAATTTTGTGTGATGGTTTTATATTGTACAAAAAACTGTAATTGTGAAATGGATATATAAAGGAATTCCATGAAAAATAACTTGGTATTATAATGGACCTGGTTTCGTCACTATACGGCTGAATATTGGAAATACGGCTTTACATTTGAACTCACTACTCACTCACCATTGTGTTGTTTAACGCCATGCAGCAATAGTCCAAATGTTTTTGACGGCGGACTGCGAGTTTGGTGCAAGCAAAGAAGTGATTTACATATTTTGGCGTTAAACGCCATATAGCTATAGTCCAGCTGTTTGACGGCGGGTTGCAACTTATCGAGTCAGGAGCAAGGAAACCGGTGACTGAGATCATATATACGTAGAGAAACAAACAGAGGAACACAGGAAAATTCAAGTGTTGCTTTGATATTTTCTATTTACATCATCAGCTTTGAATAGCGCTGTGGTGATGAAAACTGGAAAATAATAAAGGTACGCTTAAATTTTCCTGTGCTCCTTTATTTGTTTCTCTACGTATATATCAGAACGAACCATTCGCATGTGCATAAGTAGGTTGACTTAATGCATCGTACTGAATTATGCTCTGCATTAACGTTTGGATATTCAACATTACATTGCCCCAAGCAACCTTTTATTGCGTGAAGTAGCAGTCGTCTCGTAAAGCTCTGGGTGAGAATTGATGTTCAGCAACATGAACCTCACGGAAACAGATCTTCGGGATCGGTTGAATCATGCCATTACATCACAAGTTTGCAGATCGCTAATCATGCCAACAACCACAACAATAGTCGATGGTTTGTTTGTTTCAGCAATAACAATTGCTTGAATGTCAACTTACTGAATCCCGTTGAATTAACAATATAATGATCAATAATCACAAAAGATCCGGGTTAGAACTGATCTTCAACCACTCATGCTTGGCGTAAGAGCCGACTAACGGGATCGGTTGGTCAGGCTCCCTGACTTGCTTGGCACACGTTATCGTATCAAAATTGTGTAGATCGATGCTCATTCTGTTGATCAGGGAATTATCTGGTCCGCCATATAGCTGGGATATTGTTTGCGTTAAACAACAAACCAACCAACTAAATCAACCAAGCTTGTTTGCCATATTTTCGGTTGACCTTGAACCTCCGTGCAAACACAAATTACATTTTATTAGAAAACATCCTTTTTTAAACTTCCCTTCGAAAATGTATATACTATTTTCTGTGATCATATCGAGAGGTTCAGATTTTTAGTCTGTACTTTCTAAGGACAAATATAACAAATCGAGGAAATATAATGGTAATCCTTTAATATTAACAAAAACATCATATTTTATTCCCCTTGCTAAACTTTAACGCAATGTAAATCACCTTTACTTGGTTGTCTGGTCGAGACTCGATTATTTACAGACCGCCGCCATATAGCATGGATATTGCTGAGTGCGGAGTTAAACAACAACCAAACCAATATAATGATTTGGACCTCCACTGTCCTCAATCGCACTATGACAGTGTGAGAAAAAGCATAACACGAGAGCACAGCTCTTTTCTTGATGATTTAAAAAAAATATTCATCCTCTTCGGCATGCACGTTCCGAATCGTAGTTTGTGTTCTTGTTTCAGCAGATGTTTGAGATTGATTATGATCTGGTTTGAGTTGCAACAGCAGATGTGCGAAAATGCTGAATGAGATTCACTGAACTAGTTCTAAATACGTAGACACGCCAGTTATTACATTAGATTTGATTATGAATTGTAAATATCTTCTGGTTAACGTTCTGTATTTACCAAAGGAATGCTTCATTCATTCATTCATTCATTCATTCATTCATCGTGCAAATGTATGAATACGAAATTTGGCCACAAGCTCTCCTCCCTTACGTTGTCGTCGTGTACGCTAAACGCCCGCATATCAGAGCTACACGAGTGTTGCTGGTGCTATAAGTCTAATGATAAGGAGACACATATTAAGAGACACGGATCTACTGGGCGCAGCGTGGTATGTTCCTGTTGTTGTTTAGATCTGTATTTAGCAGAACGAGTTGAGGTGAGGTGAGGTGAAGTGAAATTGGGTTAAACGTCGTGCTTGAGAATATTTCGCTCATATGACGACGTGCATGCATGTGTATGTGTATGTGCGGCTGCTTGTACTAGCCCAGACTGAAGCTGGTTTTATAGTGCTAGCCCACCGAGATACCATGCCGCAGTGAAGCATGAATACCCCACTCAGACACATTATACTGACTCCGAGCCCACCAGTCTTTGTTGTACCCATTAATGCCCAGCGCCAGGCAGGGCCCAACAAGTACCATATTTTAACGTCTATTGGTAATTACGCGGTCGGGGATCGAACCCGCGACCTTCCGCTCTCCCGGCGGACGCTCTAACCACTACACCACGGAGGCGGCCGCAGAACGAGTTGAAGGTGGAATGGTTGAAATAATTTTTCAACTCAACCTGACAGCCGGGCTGGTGGCCCATAAATGTTGCCTGCCCAACTTGAAAGTTGCCTGCCCACTTTTTAATTTACATTTTGCAATAACTGACAAAACAAACACATATCATTCATAAATCAAATTTGTATTGATTAGGCAACATATTATGAGTGAGTGAGTTCATTTTTATTCCACACTCAGCAATATTCCAACTATATGGAGGCGGTCTGTAAATAATCGAGCCTGGAAAGCAACTTATTATGAACAATAACTTAATGAACCATTAAATATTTACAACCTGTGCACTGTGTGCTTATACAACTTTGAGCTAGATATCAATGTCACAGTCAGAGTAGTCACTCGAGACAACAGATTCTTCAGAATCATAACAACTATCATCAGAACTGTCAGAGTCCTCTACTGTTGCCTTGAGAGCTGGATCTTGCAGTTCTGTTTCATTCTCAACATAAACAGTATCATTGTCATCTTTAGCTGTGAGAGTGGTGAGTTTTCTTTCTAGGTGTCGTGTTCTGCGAGGTTTTACTCGCAACCAATGATGGATGGCCTGAGTTGCATCGTAATCTTCCACCTCTTCAGAATTTAGTTGGACTGTCAAGAGATTTGACACTGTGGAGCTGCTCAGTTTGTTTCTGATTTCCGTTTTGATAATTTTTAGCTGAGAAAATCCACGTTCACATTCTGCTGTGGAGCCAGGTAAAGTCAACAGAAGGTCAATCATGTGCAGACAATTCTTGTGTGTCTCTCCATAGGTTTCCCACACAACATTCCAGGACAGTTCTGAAGGCTTGTGACTGAAAATAACGATATCACATTTTATAACTGAATGAAGGTTATCATTTTACTTTAGGCAGACTATATTCAAAACCTTACTAACATAAACATTTCTTCTTTACTTTCTTTAGTAATTCAACATAGCTGATGTTTATTTCCCATGTTAGTTACAAGCATCCATACTTGACAGTTCCCTTTTGAACATACCTAAACTGTAGATATGAAATGCAATGTACATCACCAAGTGTATATAAGCCTTTGCATTCATAGAGTGAGTGATAACCCTGAATGATACTTTCCACAGCATGCATCTTGTATTTGTCTATAGAGACTATAAAACACAAGTGCACTGTAATTGCTGATGTCTATACAATAAGAAGAAGATAAATCATGGCCTGCAATTGTTTTTCTTTACCTATTGTAGATCTTAGTTTTAGACTCATCCACTCCTGGTCAATCAGATCAAGCTCAATGTCAGTACGGTCGGTGAGGAACTCTCTGTAGTGGTCTGTGATGGCTGTAAGTTTGTCTGCTCCAAACTCTTTGAAAAAGATCACATTTGCAAAAATAAATGCCATATGGAGCATTTGTTGTTTCATGATTGCAACTGACATGTTTCATGAATTGTATTATGAAATCATCATCTGTTAACATATTAATGACGTAAAATGCCTCACATACTAGAATGCCTCTCAAAAGTTCATCCATGACATAAATACTCAATAAATTAGGAGTTTTGCATAATATACAACACACCTGAATCAAATGTATCTGGCCATGACTTCAAATCTGCAAGGGAGGATGCAGAAAGTAGAGAATCAGTTATGTCGGAGAAACGACTTGACATGGATATGATGACTTCATTGAGCACCTTTTTCAGAGTGGACGATGAAACAGCCTCTCCAGACAGTGACTGGCCATGGAAAGTGTTCTTATTCTCTACTGCACGTAGATGAAATCCAGGTCTAAAATTAAACACAGTGCAAACTGTTAATAATGTAATATGCAAAATCAAAACATAGATGAATTTGCAATATTAAAAAATAAAACAAAAAAACTTTCTCAACAAAATGACTTACTTTTCTTTCATCTGTTCCAGAGTAGCAATAGTAGCCTTTAACTGTTCGTGGCACTCATGGATGGTCACATCCTTTCGTTGTAGTTCTGCTGATAGTTTGCTCAATGTGTTCAGGACGTCATGAAGGAAATGAGCATACACTATAAGTGATCTCTGTGTTAGGAGCTTGAAGAGGGACTTTGCTTTGATCTGAGCAGAACTGTCTGCACCACTGCCAGGCCCTGCTGTCTGTAACATGAACACTGAAATTAGTAACATTGGAACTTGATAATTTATAGCAGTAACTCAATATTGTGCAAGATGGTTTTAAACAGGTGAGCTGCTTGTTTAGTTTTGAATTTTAGTTTTTTTCGTTTAGTCAGTGCCGAACCGGCAAAGAAAAGTTTGATATTTTATTAATATCTTTAAAAGATGCCAGAGAAGTTTGATGTTTCACAAATATCATTACTTATGTTACAGAAATATTACCTGGCCAGTATGGTGAACAAAAGCTTTATAGCCTTTCCACAACTGCTGCAGAGCTGTGACAGTATGCCCAACCCATCTGGTGCCCCAATCCTCGTAGGCATCACTGGTGCAACACCAAGTGATTCAAAAGATCCCTTTAGCATTGATCTGAATCAAAATTTTTATCATTAATAAAACACATAATAAGTTTGACAAATTCAAACAACAGTAAGCTCAACATCTAATTCTTTTATAACTGTCAAACACTGACTGTCACTGACAAGCAGAAAATTTAGAAAAAAGAACATTTGCCAAACTTATGCTCAAAGAAGCCATTATAATCTGATTGTATGATATTTTAAACAGTACTAAATTGATTGAACTCAATACTGAAGCAAAACTAAAAAATAAACAAACCTTCAACCTTGAACTTGCAAGTAGCGCTAATGAAATTATGAAGTTTCATGGCTGTACAATTTACTGAAATTAAACAAAATAAAATTGGTGTACAAATTATAAATTACAAAAACAATTATAAAAAAGCAAAAGACAATAAAATTATGTACTTCATGAAACAGAAGTTTACAAAACTAAAAAAATTACATAGTCAAATTAAAAATTTATGAATAAATAAGGGTAAATTAAACCAACAATGAATGTGAAGAACTGAAGCCTTAATTCTTAACTGTCATTACAGTTTTAAAATGTGTATGCTAACTGCCAAGTCCTTCAGATTTTAATACCTTTCAGTTTGTTGGGTAAAATTAAACACCATGTTTTTAGTTATTTACAAGAGCAATTGAAACATTTAATTATAATAATCATTTTCACAAATTTGAATTACTTAAGCGGTATCTTATCTTTAATAACAAAAAAAGAAAGGATTGACATTAAAAAGTTAACTTACCTTTGGAGATAACCTTTGTAGAAAGAGTAGAGAAGATGAAGCATTTTCATAACGTCTGCATACTGTTTTGATGTTTTGAAAGCTGCCTTGAAGCACAATTCAATCTGTGGGCCATGCAGTGAATCATGACAATGGCAGAAGAAATGTTTTTCTGAAGATGGACGATGACACCATTCTTTTTCCCAGTGTTAACAGATGCACCATCACAACCAAAGGCAATCAGCCTATTCTTGACTGGAATATCTGTGAAAGTGTTCATTGCTTTGAGCAATGCTTGATAAATGCCAAGAGAATCTGCTCTTTTGACATGGATTAACTTGACGAAAAATACAAAGATTTTTCCTCTGATAGCACATCTGAGGTAGACAATTTCATTTTCTTGTGTGCTAACATCTGTGGAGCCGTCACTCAATATTGAAAAGAAATTGGCATCTTTAATCTGTTGTTCAATTTTCAAATTCTCAGTTTCTGCAATAGCTTGTGTAAACGAAGCAGCAGATTTATCTGATGCATATGCTTTACCAGTTTCAATTCCTTTTCTGGCATCAAGTTTTCGTTGCCAAACGTAATCCATAAATGGTCTTGAATTTTTAGCTAGGGCATGACAGTTGCTAAACAGTGTATTCAGGGTTTTGAAAGCTTTTGCATTCAGTTTTCCATCGATTGCTCCGCTGGAGATTCCCCGGGTCTCATTTCCTTCGCTTTGTGAAATTCCACGGCCCTAGTATGACCAAATGACAGATGATGGGTTTTTAAAGCATCGTGTTTCAAATTGAGACAACCAAGCACAAAAGGTCCACGTTTATATCTATCATAAGAGGAAGGAATCCTTGTTTGCGACAGCGGGCCGTAACACGATCTGCATACTTTACAAAACAGAGATTGTTGGTCGGTTATCAACCAGGGAAATTCACCGCTCCACTTACTCTGGTATTTACGTGTTCGTTGGGTTGTTTCATACTCCTTACTCTTTTCTTTCTTCTCAATATCCTTTTCTTCTTGTGTTTTGGTATGAAAATCTTTACAATTAGTCAAAAAACTGAATATTTTGACTGCGACATCGTGGTCTCCCTCACGCCGCCATTTTGTAACCAATACAAACGAGTAAGTAACGCTCTCTTTGATTGGTTCTTTTTTAACCATGTGCCTACTGATATCCAATCATAGCGTAGCTTACTAAACCAGCCAGTTTTAGTGTCCTATTACTATCTTCACTGGCAGAAGAGTTGTCCATGTATACTCGTGGCTTCCATTCATCTTTCTTAAATCTAAATATGACATGACAGTTAAAATGGAATGATCGTCCTGAGTGCGAACTGAAAATGTCAACCATAAAAATTCCAGCCAGACCATCGGGCTGGTGGAGAGAATTTCCAGGCAGCCCGACTCAACGTTTACCGGCCACGGGCAGTCGGGCAGGCCGTTATTTCGATGTGCATGCATGCTTAGCAGTTCTAGAATACTTTGAGATTGCTTAGCATCTATTTGGAAGTTGAGGGCACAAACTTGGCATCTTCGGAGACACTGTAAAATCGAGGTTACATCTTCTTACACTCTTTACAGTTAAAGTCTTTGGGTAGCTTCTCCAAGGACACTTTCTTTGAGCCTTAAACATAAGGTTGTGGAATTTATTTATTCGGTTGCCGTATAGCTATATGCTTCAGGTCATAAAATGTCCTCTATGTGATAAATGTGGAAAATTTGTTTTATTTTTATCGAATCAAAAACCGTTTTGTTCCATGGAATCTTTGCAGTTTTTGCTTTTGTTGCTTGTCAGTATTCCAACAAGCGCATAGCGAATCCAGTCTGGATGTATATGCCTGACGCGTGAGGGATCACTAGAGTGTTTCTCGAATATCGATATCATACTGAATATTTCATAGGCAAAAGAAGTATAGCTACTGAAATTGGAAAGATCATAATGACTTGAAATACCCTGGTAGCCATAAAATAAATAATTCTGGGCTTGCTAAGATATCTTTTGATAATCTGGGCCTAGATTGTTCGAAGCTCTCATAGCGCTAGGATAGTCGTAAGTGCCATACATTAACATTAAGTTACGATTATCTTAGCGCTAAGAGAGTTTCGAAAATCTAGGCCCTGATACCTTGAGGGCAAAGACCAAACTGACGAAAAATATTATGGTTACATTTTCGCAATACTATCACTGCGTTCCAGGGTCGCGATCCACAAAGCGTTCGTAACTTCACGACCTAAAGTAACTCTGTACTACATCATTGGGTTATAAATGACAGTCATATTTCCATTCGACAAGGTTTCAAAAACCAAAGGCCCAGAAAAAACCATTCAAAACGTTTCATGGTAGAAATGTGGCTTTTAACTCCACCCCCGGTTTGCTCGAAGCACTTACAACTAAAAGGATTAAGGAACAGGTCGGTCTTTAGGCCTGATTTAAAGAGGGTTCCATAACACCAAATCACTTCACATTGTAGGGAAGTTCGATACTTTAGAACCACATGATGAACCATAAAAACAGTCATCAGTGTGGATAAGGTGACGAAAACCAGACAATCCAGTGATCAACAGCATGATCGTAGACCTACGCAACTGGGATACGATGACATGTGTCAACCAAGTCAAAGAGCATGACCACCCGATTCCGTTAGTCGCCTCTTACGACAAGCATGGGTTACTGATGAGAAATTCTAACCCGGATCTCCACGGGTTCCGAATGAGAATCTCTTCTGAGAATGACCATGATACATTTTACAGGCGAATGCAAGTTTGTCCATCCTGCGCTGTGAAACTGCTGACCTTGAGGCTGCTATTCCACCATGACAAAGCAAGGAAACCAGGACGTTGATGAAACAAGTAAGTCGTGTCTCACAATGTTTTAGACGAGTGCTCAACGATGGGGATCCGGCATTAGAAACTCAACATCAAGGGTATATAGCCCTTTCCATCATCAAACGAAAAAAGACGTACCTAAATCATTGAATGGCCAGTTTGGAGTCAGCATAATGCGTCCACACACATGCACCCACACTCTCTCTCTCTCTCTCTTGCACGCACGCACACACACACACACACACACACACGCGCGCGCGCGCACTCAGATACGCAGACCAATACTCACACCCACACCCACACCCACACCCACACCCACACCCACACCCACACCCACACTGATACAAGTACATGCACGTCGCATTATACATGAAAGAATCTTCCACGTCACGTTAAAAATCAGCTCGCCTATCCTCAGATTTGCACTGGCTTTACTATTTGATACATTACTTGCAATATCATCTAACGCGAGTTAAGAAATTGATTATACAACTGGTTGAATATATCCAGAAACAAGAGAAACATGGGGACATCGAGTGGATGGCATCGTTACCCTGTTGGGCTACAGTGTTGGGGAGGGAACGCTTCTCAAGTTTCCCTACCTGTGCGCAAGAAACGGTGGAGGTACGTACACAGATTATGTACTGAAACGGGTTGCAAATGATATGCGTGAATTGTTCATTCCCAAGATGAAACAATAGGTCAACTGGAAATCGGCCTGTAAACGAAATACTGTGAACCAATGAATATTAAAACTTTACAAATGTCACAAATTGATTTAATACAATAATCACGAAATTGCAATGGCGTTACAAATTAGAGTGTCAATAAACTATTAAAGCAGTGATAATAGCAATAAAGACAGTGATGTAATATTCATCAACAGTCGTCAACCTTCCAAACTAGGTCCAGACTAAGTGTCTAGGGTGAAGAGTGATCTTCACACGACTGTTGGTCTTCTTGTATTATAGGATGTAATGATAGACGTGATATATTAAGAATTAAATTAACTAAGTTTACAAATTAATGATCATTACACACTGTAACGGAATAACAATGACATTACAAAGTAGAGTGGCAATATAAAATTAAAGCAGTTATTGTGCCAATAAAGACAGTGAGGGTAATATTGAAGTCACTGCAACCATGGCCGAGCTTCCAACATAGGCCAAGGCGGAGTATCCAGGGTGAACAGTGATCTCCACACAACTGCTGGTCTTCTTGCAATGTGAGATGTAATGTGAGATGACTGAAGTAAGACTGACACTTTGTATTGTTAAATACTTTCTCTAAGAATACACTTGGATATTCAGGAATAGGCCGAGGCATCGAACAGTGCCATCTAATGAACCATGAAATATAATTCAACACGGTTAAACGTTCGCTGCCACATAGCATAATGCAATCTAAATATTCCACTCTGATCACATGATGGCACTTATTAAAACAAGGTAAAAACTAATAATCTCTGTTTATATAAGGCATGATCAAATATGGAACATAAACATCACCGTGTATGTGATCTTAAGACAGGTCTAGATAGGTCCAAGGTATATCGTATTAGTCACTGCCTCTCTTACGATAATATAAAACATCAGTGCAAAATAACACCCAGTCTAAAATGAATGCCTGCTACACGAGAAAATAAGAATATGCAATATGTTCTCTTTACATAACTTCCTATAGTTGCCAGTTTATTAGTTATGCCTGCTGCAAGAAAAACAAAATGCTTGTCACAAATTATATTTTGACAATACCCTTCATTGCACATTAACTTTAAAAAAAAGAAATATCCGAAATGTGATGGCGCATAGTAACACAGTAGCAAAACCCATTTGTCTCAGAATTCTTCTTTCATCTCTGTTTTTTATTACTGTTTTCAGGAGCATTCCTGATCCCCTGGTGTTTGTTGGCCTCTGTGCTGTACCGCTGTACTTCCTGGAAGTGGTCATTGGCCAATACTACCAGAAGGGCCCTGTCGAGGTGTGGAAGTTTTGTCCTGCCATGAAAGGTACAATGCATGTAAATATATGTCAAGGGTTTAAGAAGAATTCAAAACTTGAAAACCCTGTATGACAAATTGAAAACAAATTTTAAAGACATCATATTTCAGAAAGTTAAATAAATGCTTATTATTGCTCATGTTTTGTTTGTGCAAGTAACATCTGCAAACACATATATCTCTAATGTTTAGGATTAGTGATTGATCATTAAAAGTTTAATAGGCTTTCGGGCAACTAAGCCCATTTATACCTTGCCGATCATAAAGGATTGCTTAGATTCTAAAAAAACCATAAAGGAGCAAAGCTGCCACATATGAACGCTTAAATGTATGCAAGAATTTCACTCTGAACTTCATGGCGAGTGATATTCCTTGAACATAATTGTTCAGCCAATGGGATGTCAATATTGAGAGCTGTAAGAGATTTAACCATTGCTCTACGTTGTTTAACATATTTATGGCAATGCAGTAGACAAAGCGCCACATTATCTAGCTGATTACACACTGTACAAAGCGCAGACACATTTTTCTTGATAATATTGAGATAAGCACCAAGGCCACAATCCCCAAGACGAAGTCTGGTTAACAGAACCTCTTCTCTCCAATGGTTTCGAGATAATTGGAATTTAGCAACAAGAGACCCAATGCAGAGATGGGACGTTTCCCCAACATTTGCTGCAAACTTCAGGGATTTATGTTTGATTTTGCAGACTTTGTCCCAACATCTGTACTGAAAACATAGCATCACTAATCTACTCCTAAGCTAATGACTGAAACACATTTTTGAAATGGCAAGGTGTAACTGAATGTAACCAGAGTAAAATGGTTCGTGGATGCAATACACTTGTATTTAATTCCTTTTAAGTAAATACCCTTAAATGAAATAAACGCACGATACGTTTGTCTACTGTGACAAGGTCTTGGACTAGGGACGGCGTTGGTGTCGTGGGTGTACGCCATGTACACGTCCATGTACTTCTCCTGGTACCTCTACTACTTCTTCAACTCCTTCTTCAACCCCCTGCCATGGTCCACGTGTGGCAACTACTGGAACACGCCCAGCTGTGTGGAGTCGACACTTTATGGACATGCTGGTATAAACACCACACTGAAAGGCACTGATCCACTCCAAGGCTTCATCAACGCTACACATTGGGATCACTTGAATGTGTCCACTGTGGACGTTGCTAGTGCTTCAGAAGAATTCTGGAGGCAAGTAATAACACTATGACCTTTAGAATACCTTAAGTATGTATAAGTAGAAATTAAGATCATATTTTGGAGATAAACGACTGTGAACATTAGATTAATGTTAGATAGAATTGATGGTTGCTGTATTTCATTCAAAACGCGTAGCTATAATAAATGATTAATTATTATTATTTCCATCACGTTGTGTTCATATCAGCCATACTGGTGGTCAAGCGGAAGCGGCAGTGTGATATATACCTGCGCAGTGAAGCAGTCATAAAATCAGAGGCATTTTGAAATCCAAGTCAATTATGTCCAATTTTATGTATAACAGAACAATGACGTTGCCTCAGGTTAATGGCCCTAAGGAGTATCCAGTTTTACCCGATATTATTGGAACAAAAGATTTTTAACTGAAATGATACCAATTTCTGCAATCTTTGATCTCAACAAGAATTTCTTTCAGATATAATACACTGGACATCTCGAATGGCCTGGATGATACTGGATCCATTCGGTGGCCATTGTTTGGGTGTCTGACCTTCACCTATGTCACCATGTACGTCATGCTGTTTAAAGGCATAAGAGTCACGGGCAAGGTAATGGCGAATATAGGCATAAGTCAGAGAATATAAGCAGACTTAAATATCTGACGAAACGGGTTATTTGGGGCGTAGAAGGCAAATTAACTGAGGGAATTATTTGTTTGCATAAATAGTTATGGGTCATGACTCCAAGTGTTCGCAAAAAGGATCCCTATGTGATGTCTTACCGGCAGAAACAACCACAGATAAAATGAACTTATAGATGGGTATATTCTGAACACAAAAGTGGTGTTCATTAGGCTAGGAGCATTCTTTGATATAACCAGATACGTTGAGAGCAAGGCATATTCGTGGACATTGTTGAACGACCGATTCACAGTAACAAAGCCAATATGAAAAAAAATAAAAAAATGATGAAGCTTGTTCACAAATATAGTAATGTCGAATCACTGTGAGTCTGTTTGGAGCAGGTTTGAACAATATTGCACATAGGTCACACCGTGCCAGCTTTTGGAGAAAGTCTGGGTTAGAATTGATCTTCAGTAACCCATGCTTGTTGTAAGAGGAGACTAACGAGATCGGGTGGTCAGACCCGCTGACTTGGTTGACACATGTCATAGTATGCCAGTTGCGCAGATCGATGTTCATGCTGTTGATCACTGGATTGTCTGGTCCAGACTCGATTATTTACAGACCGCCTACATATAGCTGGAATATTGCTGATTTGGGCATAAAGCTAAACTCACTCACTCTAGCATGACTGCCCCGAAAATCGGAATTGGTACTGAAAGTAAATATCTAACAATAAAAGGGAAAACCTTTATCTATATTTTAATGTTTCTGTGATAGCAGGTTAATCACTGGATTGTCTGGTCCAAATTCGAGTAATTACAGACCTCCGTCATATGCACGTAGCTAGATTACGGCCGGGTGCAACAACAAACAAATGAAACATACAGGACCAGTTTCCAGTCAGCGTATCCTGTGGGAATACTGGTTTTACTAACAAACGATATGACACCATTTCCAGATCGTGTACGTCACCTTCATGTGCCCGGTGCTGGTGTGTGCGGTCTTCCTCATACGGGGCTCCTTGTTGCCAGGGGCGACAGATGGACTGTTTTATCTGATAAGACCAGACTTTGAGAAGTTGAAAAGACCCAACGTGAGTGTCAAGTCAGGTCGACAAATCAGCTGCTAAATCATAAATGGTTCATTATTATATTAGTGAATCGATCAACACATGACTCATCCATGTTACTGAGCGTGACCATCCTATTAGTCATTGGTACCATGGGGTAGCCTAGTGAATAAAGCGTTCGCGTATCATGCCGAACACCCGACTTCGATTCTCCGCATGGGTACAGTGTCATAAGCCCATTTCTGGTGTCCCCCGCCATGATAGGGCTTGTATGAACAAAAGTGCTATTCTTGAGTATATGTTATAAGATCTTAGCTTCATCTTAGTTAGGTTCACCCGGGTTCGATTCCCCACATGGGTACAATATGTGAAGCCCATTTCTAGCGTCCCCCGCCGTGATATTGCTGGAATATTGCTGAAACTAAAATTCACTCATTCACTTGAGGTCGCTTTGAGTTTTTTGACGTATGTGCTGAGCATTTCTAAGATGCTTTGAAATTGACGAGCTGGCTTAGCAAATATTTTTCTGTTGAGGGCACATACGTGGCATCTTCGGGTGCACTGTAAGGTCCAGCTCCTTGCTTAGAACCTTCAAGGACACTCACTTTGTGTCTAAGTATAAGGTTGTAGATTTAATGTATTTGGTAGCCATATAAGTAGATGCTTCCAGACATAAAATGTCCTTCAAATGATAAATGTGGAAAATTTGGTCGATCGGAGTAAAACCTCACTCACTCATTTGGTTTAGAATTTGTCGTCAGCATCACCATAATTGTTGCTAGAGGCATCTGACGGGATCGGCTGGTTAGGCTCCCGTAGCTGCTGCATGTCATCTAGTCGACTATTGCTGACTGTTGCGTTAAACAATGACTAAAGCAACAAAACTGTTACCTTGGTGTGCTATAGATATGGATCGAAGCGTGTGGCTACGCCCTTCACTCCATGGGCACCAGCACTGGCATCGCCAACACCATTTCCAGTCACAATCAGCGAAACAGTAACTGCTACAGGTATAGGGAACAGGTTTTTTAACATTACAATTTTGTCTCGGGATTTACACATCGAATTTTTCGCTTGACAGTGTCGATTTCCTTAAAACGTTTTTGAAAACATTTGAGGCATTACTGATTTTCTCACGAAGTAATCATGGAATTTTGTACCACTCAGCTTCATCGTTTGATGAATTGCTACAAATGATCAAGAAATTCTCAAGTATCGAAGGAAGCACTCTTAGACTCTTAAGGTATTTCCTTGAAACAAGAACATCAGACAGAGAAGCATAATAACAAGGAAATTTGTATTTCGCAAATTTTGGTTACTCTCTAAAAAGACTCACACGGGTGGCTTTCTTGTTTTAAGAATTGCTACAAATGATCGGTAAAATTCAGCGCTCTTAAATCCATAACATGTGTCTATGGGAGGAAGATGATACAGACAGAGAAAACACAATCATAAAGAATATTTTTCACGGTTTTGTTACTCTAAACGGTCACTGCTCCATGCTCTAGATTGGTGTTCCTCCCATGATTCATAAAGATTTCGTAGGCCTTCATTGAATATTGTTTTCCAAATTCCCAGAGTGGCGATGGTTTTGTGTATCGTGGACCCCCTGATCACCATCTTCTGTGGACTGTCCATGTTCACGGTGTTGGGGCACATGGCGCACGTGACCGGGTCCAACATGGATGACTTTCAGTCGTCAGGTATAATTATGGGGTAACTATAACAGTAATCTGAGGCACAGTATCACAGTGGACTAGCGCTGATAATGAGTGAGTGAGTCGAGTTTTACGCCGCACTCAGCATTATTCCAGCTATATGGCGGCGGTCTGTAAATAATCGAGTCTGGACCAGACAATTCAGTGATCAACAGCATGAGCATCGATCTGCGCAATGGGGAACCGATGACATGTGTCAACCAAGTCAGCGGGCCTGACCACCCGATCCCGGCGCTAATAATGAACGTAGCCACAATCTGGACGTTTCTGATTAATCTTATTTCCCAATTTGCCAATAATTTAAGTCATGATGCGTTCTAATTCCCACAGGGACTACCGATGTTAGTTCGTTGTAATCGTAGTTCTATATATGAATTTTGAGTTAAATATGCAATATGTGGCCGGGACCAAACAGTTCGTTATTACCCTGTTTGTTACAGTTTTATCACTATATCTGATTTTGGTATATTTGTTAATGATGCACCACTTCAGCTTACAAAGAATCTCACCCGAGAAATATATGATATATATGAAAAGTTGATGCTTGTTTTTACACTGTTATGGACGAGTTTTGACATATAAAAGACACTTTTTGACATTGTATTCATCATCTAACATTAGACTTGTTTGTCAGTTTGTAAAAAAAGGAACAGGCAGTGATCTCACCCAAACGAAATTAAGATTGAGGCCTGTTTATGTATCACGTATAGTTTCGGTGTTACACAGATATATATGTTCTGATGATCCCACTCATTTTCCACTCCAGGTCTTAATCTGGCGTTCTCAGTGTTACCGGAAGCAGTGACTTATCTCCCCTTGTCCCAGTTATGGTCTGTGCTGGTTTTCCTCATGATGATGACGTTGGGCCTTGATACGACGGTATATAAAGTTGTTTGTAGCAAATCATACACAAGACGAAATGGATGCCCAGCGACCTGTGCTTGTCGTACGAGGCAACCAAATGGATCACGTGATCAGACTCAGTGACTTTGTTCAGTGCATGGAACAATACTCAAACTATCAATGGCGATTTGTTGCAATCTTTCCGGTGTGTGGTAGAACGCTCTCGACCATTTGCATATCACTGTTTCAAACGTCTGGCATCTTGTATCCCTTGCCCAACTGTCATCAAAGACGTTTGCAGTGTGGAGTTGAATCAGTTTCACGAATGCCAATGCATCTGTCAAATTTTGGGGTTGTTAAACAAGGTTTTGAATGAACGTTAATTTTATATTGAACCCACTATTTTCTTTCTTGATCGTGTACACTGCAACCAAACACACAACCAGGCAGTATATCTTTACAAGCATCAAAGTTACTGGGTATTCTCTGTTTATTAAAATGAACAATGTGGCTATCGTTTTATTGGTTTATTTTCAATATTTCAATTCCAATACATATTTGAAAAGGGGCGGTTGGGTAACTCCTGGATACAGCGTACCCTCATCACCCGGGTGATGCCCATTTGTGGTGTCCCCCATCGTAATATGGATGGAATATTGCTACAAAACACCAGTACTAACGTATTTGTGCCAACCAGCAATCCTCCTTTCGTTGCAGGTTCCGAGTTTAGAGATCACTCAAGAGACACTAGCTGATCAGTTCCCGTCACTGGCCAAGCGTCGGTGGCTTCTTCTCCTCATCGTGTTCCTTCCTTCTGGCTCTTCCTTACACTACACAGGTACGATGAAATAGCGTCCACTGAAGGAGAAGAAGCCTTGTTTTGCTAAAGAACGAGAGTTACGTTGTCGTTTCAAGCGTTTGGAAGTTCTTACACTGAATGTTTCACAAGGCGATCTGTAATCTGTAATCGGAATTACGATCACCTCAGCGCTACGACTGCAGTAAGTCTATGTTAAAATATGGGAGTTACGATCACCTTAGCGCTACGACTGCAATAAGTCTATGTTAAAGTATGGGAGTTACGATCACCTCAGCGCTACGACTGCAGTAAGTCTATGTTAAAGTATGGGAATTACGATCACCTCAGCGCTACGACTGCAGTAAGTGTATGTTAAAGTATGGGAGTTACGATCACCTCAGCGCTACGACTGCAGTAAGTCTATGTTAAAGTATGGGAATTAAGATCACCTTAGCGCTACGACTGCCGCAAGTCTATATCAAATGTCACATGCAACCAACAAAACCAAACATAATTAAAACACAATTATCACTTATTCACGACATATCATATACATTACTGATTGTGAAAAAACAAATAAACAAAATTGTAAGCGTGCAATCACTCTACATGCTCTCTGCATTTGCGTTCGATCCAATCAACAAATACTGAGATATGAACTACTGCGTGGCTGGAAACTGTCGTTGGTCCAAGTACAAAGCAGGACTTGAAACTGACAATCTGAGTTTGCACCGGTTTCCGTCGGATCCAGTCATCCGAGAAAAACGGATGCAGTTTGTTTGCAACCCACAGACATAATAACATGTCATGTGTACAAGTATCACACCTGCCTGTCTGTGTAATTACATAATGTGACAGAGACAGAACTCGGGTGCACGAGCCATAAATCAATGTACATATATTTTGTTTATGGTGTATATCCTGATAGGTGTTAAGTTCAAATTGCATGTGATCAATGATTGAAGTTGTGTATTGCATATTGTCATTAGCAGACAGGCAGGCAGACACATAGGTGTCAATAAAACAGACATTGAGTTTTGTCTGTGACAGAGACCGCTTATCACAATCAACATATTTTTCTGTTTCCATAGACATGTATTAAAACATTTCATTTTTTAACAATGAAATTATTATTTCTAATGCTACACTTTCTTGAAAACTTGGTTTGCAAATCTGCAGCCAAGTATGGGACCAGTGTATTGTTATTACTGCAGACCCAAGATGCTAATAATTACAAGAAACATCTTTTGTTCTCCAACTTCGACCACTGCGATAATCCTTGCACGCATCACTTGCTGTGTTTTTACGAGTCGCCTTCCCGGTTCAAGCCGCGCGAATCTAATCACTGCGCATGCGCTATGGGTGCAGCGCAGCACAACTGTTGAAACCACTTTTCACCCCAGCGCTGGGTTGAAATTAGTGAATCGTTTGAATTACGAGTATGCGGGTTTTTTTTCATTCCTTTATTTTTCAACTTTATAAGTTGAATTTTCATTTTTTATAATTTGTTACTGTAAGTCCATACCGAAATGTATCAGAATCTGCAAAGTTGTGTTTTGAGTTGCATGTGACCTTTTAAGTATGGGAGTCACGATCATATTAGCGCTATGGTCGCTTTGTGAAACGGGACCCTGGGCGTAGATTTTCGAAGCACTCTTAAGTTAATGTTAATGTATGACACTTACGACTATCATAGCGCTAAGAGAGCGAAAATCTAGGGCCTGGTGTATATAACCGAAAGGTTGGGTGAGGATAACTGGGTTCCAAAGTCGCGATAATAGCATTCATTTAGCACCACCTGATTCAAAAGACATTTTAAATACACCATACGCTAGTCAACTGGATTACGCCTGTAAAGTACGTGTTGGTTTAGTTATACGTTCTGTGTTGGAAAAATAAGATTAATGTTAGACCAAATTCATAGCCTCCAAATTTTATTTGAAACCATTTCATTTTCATTTCCTGGCAGAAAGCAGGATGTTGATTGTTCAGTGTTGACATGTACCTTTTGAATGATGCATCGGGGCATGTGGGAATATAAGTGGCATAAATACGAGTTTCGCTAGATCATTTTCATTCCAAACCCCCTGAATGATTATTCTCTATACCCACATAGTCTGATTCGATGACAAATGAATTGATGGTCGACAAAAACGTGTGAGCAATTATCTTCGCAACCGATATACGATGGTGATGTGTTAATCATGTCAGCGAGTCTGACCAAGATCCCGTTAGTCGCCTCTTACGACAAGCACGGGTTGTTGACGACCAATTCTAACCCAGATATTCTTAGTTTGGTTTATCACCTCGTCAAACATTATTGCAGTTAATGTGTCAGCTGTGCGTTGGTGGTCAAGCAGAAGTTGTGCGGCAGTGTTGTGTTCGTGAGCAGTGAAGCGGTCATAAAATCATTTTCAGTCCAAATTCAATGTGACTAATTTAATAATTGTCCAATCAAATTCGAGTATTTCACGGACTCATGGTAAAATGCAAACTGATTAATTCTTTAAAATCAGAATATTCGTGTTAAGAAAAAAACTCTTCCAATCAAGATAATATGCCTTGAATTTTAGAAATAGTGAGTGAGTGATTGAGTTACTTGGTCACTCACCTGACGAAAGGGCAAGGAAAAGCCCAGAAACGTTGTGTATAGAAGAAGTTGATATCCATAATATTCCGTCTTATACTTGAGTTTTAAGTCCTATCGGCATTATATCAGCCCTACAGTTTAAAACTAAGTATTGTATTTGATGTTTTCATGTATATTTTCATTTTATTCTTGATTTAATGTGAGTGTCGCGTCTTCGTGTTTACTACTGTCGTCTCAGGGTCACGTGTGGCTCAGTTGTCCGAGGCACCACTAGTTGGTTGGTTGGTTTTATAGTTTTAGGGCTACATGGGTCAATAAGAGGCCTATTTGCGCCCAACACATTGACTTGAGTTAATAAAACATCACAGGTAATATTCATTTAGATAGACGTATACATATATCGAATAACCTCTGCTTCGTGTTACGGATTAAAAACCTTAAGTAATCACTTCCATTTCTGAAACATGAAATACTTATTCATTAAAAAATCATTAGGTTAAGGTGACAGCGCGCTAGAAAGATTTAAAATCACAGAACTAAATCTGTCTAAGCCACTTGAGAGCCTGTCTAGATTACATCATATTTTCCAGATGACGAGACAAAATCTCAAACTGCCCGTTGAACGGACCCGTACATGATATTGGGGCCCTGAAGAAAATATATCATCAACCTCAAGTACAGCACTTCTGAGATTATGTCTTATGTTATTATGCCCAGGGCATGTAATGCGCCACTATACGCTGTACACAGTTACCTCCCTTGGACACTCCAGAATCCAGGCCTCGATTGTGTTTTTAGTTTTGTCACAACATACCCGTAGGTTTCACCCGAGTTGTAAACACCTGGGTCCTGCGTCACCTCACACGACTAACGGGATCGGGTGGTCAGACTCGCTAACAGGGTTAGCACATCGTCATCGTATATCGGCTGCTTTGACGCTGTTCACACTGTTGATCACTGCGCTGTCTGGTCCAGACTCAATTATTTACAGACCGACGTCACATAGCTGGAATATTTCTAAGTGTGACATTAAAGAACTGAACAGTTAAACCAAATTCCCAAATATTTATTTTGGTTAAACATCACGCCTCATGTTCGCTGTTCTTCCACTAGGCTGGTATCTACGTCCTGACCCTCGTGGACTGGTATGCGTCGGTGCCCCCTGTGATGCTGTTTGGGGTGGTAGAGTGTCTGGTCCTGGCCTGGGTGTTTGGTAAATATCTGCTTCAGTGCATGCTGATTCCCTGCGTAGATCGATGCTCATGCTGTTGATCACTGGATTGTCTAGTCCAGACTTAATTATTTACAGATATAGCTGTAATAACCGACCAACTTATTCCCAGTAAGAATACGTGTTGCATACAGGAAATTAGGATTACGGGGGACATCACCCTTAACTGTTACAAAAGAGAGGGACCTGACACCAAGCAGGGTGGGCATCACATATTGACTAAAGATAGGTATTTACTGTAATGTTGATGCAGTCACAACAATGCTTAACTATTCACATGAGTTTTCCTACGTGGCCTTTAGCTCAACACTTGTGAAATAAATGTCTCTTTTTCTTAGCTTTCCTTGCTGCAACGGCAGCATCATAAGGAAATTCCTTAGATCTGGGTTCCCTCAATTTGGATTGTAGAATTGGGCCGTTGACGACAAACAGAACAACCAGAAAACGATTGATGTCCTGTGAATACATACGTGTATAACGAGACAGGTACGTTGCAGGTGTATGGAGACTGGATAAGTGTACGGTGGAGATGTACGGACAGACTATTCCAAGATGGCTGATCTTCCTCATGAAGTACATCACACCTGGACTTCTCATGGTAATACCATTATCGCTATTCTTAGTGTGAGTGAGTGAGCTGGGTTTAGCGTCATTTTAAGTTTGTCAGTTTGATAATACAGTGTTGTGATGGGAAAGGCCGAAATGATTAGGTCTGATGTATTCTCAGAGGCAAACGTTATTGTGACATGGAAGTTTGTCTTTGGTAAGCTTGTGAATGATTTTATGGATTTGAACCCGAGAAAGAGTGTGCTAAAATGGTCGAAGAAACGCATCCAATCAGTTGTTCGAATTTTGCAAGACGCAAGACATATTCAAGACAAATGGCCATCAATGGTTACATGAAATGACCTAACAACCAGACGCGTATCACTTCTGCTCAATGCTACCTTAAGAAATGCAGAAATCAGACAAACATATCAATATTCAGTCAGTCGGACGTTGCTCGTCGGTGCAACTTCCACAGAAAAAATATTTGGCTCTCATCACTTTAAGAGCGGATGTAGAGTCCGAACCTTTCATCACAGAATCTTACACAGAGCATCCCTATAGTCTGTTCTAATTAGATTCGTGAAGTTCCGGGTTCGAATTGGTCCTCAGTAACCCATGCTTCGGTATTTGACTAACGGGATCGGGTGGTCAGGCTCGCTGAATTGGTTGACCCATGTCATCGTATCCCAATTGCGTAGATCGATGCTCATGTTGCTGATCACTGGATCGTTTGGTCCAGACTCGGTTACTTACAGACCGCCGCCATATAGCTGGAATATTGCTGAGTGTATTGTTAAACAACAACCTATCAATCAAACTGTTCTAATTAATAAATCTGGCCCAAAATTGCAGCCAAGGGTACCTAGTGGTTAAAGTGTTCTCTCATCAAGCACATTCCCCACATGGGTACAATGTGTGACAGCTATTTCTGGTCTTCCCACCGTGATAATGCTGGAACATTGCTAAAGGCGGCGTAAAACTCATCGTTATGTTCCAAACAGGGAATCTGTTTGAAAAACACTTCTGCATGGTGGCAAATCAAAATCAAAATCCGGTATAGTCAGCCCCACACATATAAGTTATCCATTACATAGTTCTGTATGTATCCTTGCCGATTGAAAAGTACGATACAAATCTTCACAGGGTACAGCTGTACGTATGCATTAATACATTACTTCCAGGTTATATTTGGGTACGCCTTCTACGAATACCGGCCTCCAAAATATGGCACTTACTTCTATCCTGAGTGGGCAACCGCTATTGGTTGGCTTATATCGGCGTTCATGATTGTGCCGACGCCTTGTTGGATGGTGTACTGTGTATGGAAGTCCAGAGGGGACACATTCAAACAGGTAACTCAAACTGTGATCCTTATGACCGACTGAGTTAGTCAGCCAGTAAGTGTGTTTTAGTTTGATATGTGTGCGAGTATGTGTGCGTGTGCGTGTGCGTGTGCGTGTGCGTGTGTATGTTTGGGTGGAGTTGGAGGAATGTTTGTGTGTTGAGTGCATCGAGAGTGAGTGAGACATTCAATGAGAATTCTAGAACCGGATTGTAGATGTGTCCACTACATAAGGCAATCTGCTGATATGAACACAAACCATAGCCCTGCAAGCCAACATCGAAAGAAACGTTGTCATATGAAACACCTAAAGTCATAGCTTCCGTTCAATAACCCATTCGTATAGAATATAGAATTTATTTTTGCGTGTATTATTCAATCTTTTCTTTCCAGAAACTGGTGAACGCATTCATTCCGCAAGATATATCGTCGGATGTATCACTAGAAGACAGAGGTGAAGAACAAGAAGCCCTGAACGTTGTCATGTAATCTCCTGTTCCGTGTCACCAATTTCTATTACCCAGCGTGATACATTTTCATTCTACTGTGATCGATACACTGGACTCGTTTGTGGACATATTCTCGTTCACAAAGTGCTGTACGGGGGACGTCCCAAAAGTTTCCGGCCTGCCTAATACGTATTTTTCAACATAATCCCCTTCACTTAAATGGACTTGTTCCACCTTTTCTCCAGCATATTTAACCCGTCTGAAAACCATTGTTTGTCTCGAGAACCTAAAACTCCACACAAAACAGCGATGACCTCCTCATCCGCCTCACATTTGCGACCCTGCGGACGTATTCGAGATGAGGGAAGAGGCAGAAGTCAGAAGGGGCTAGATCTGAAGAATAACCTGGGTGAGGGAGGATTTTGACGCCAGAGTCCTGTGTAGCACTCAATGCCACTTGGGCCGTGTGAACTGGAGCATTGTCCCGGAGGAGCCAGACACCACAGCCCTTTTCTCTCGCAACCTACGGAATTCATCAGCGTAATATGCATCATTTATTGTGGAACCCTTCTTTAGATAGTCTATCATGATTACGCCCTCAGAGTCCCAGAAAACGGAGGCCATGACTTTGCCACTGGAAAACGTTCCTTTAAACTTTTTTGGGCATTGGTGACGTCACGTGTTTCCACTGCATACTTCGACTTTTTGTCTCTGGGTCAAAGTGATGAACCCAGATTTCATCCTGAGTAACAATATGGCCCATGAAAGCACGTGGATCTCTCCGATAGTCCTTAAGAAGCTGACGTTTGTGTTCTTCAGATAACATTCTGGGCGACCAGACTGTGGTTCGTATTCAGTGCTGCTCCTGCCCCTTGTTAATTCAGCACACCACTGTTTGACCATACTACATGGAGCGTTGTCACCTAATGTTTGTGTCATGTGTCGTAAACCTTTTTAAATGAATATACTCAAAAACAGTCCTGCATTCGATTCTCTCCATTTTGAGAGCAAATAATAGTGTCATGCTGTTTGACAATTATATATGGCAAATCATAGCACATGGAAGACATGTTTTGCACGTCGAGCACCTGCTGAGATACTGTTCTAGAAACATGGCGAGTTTTGTTGAGTTTGTGCGATCCGTTCATGGTGAGGCCGGAAACTTTTGGAACACCCCTCGTAACCGTATCTCTCATCAGCAACCTTGCTCAGGATGTCCTTCGTTCATTGTTGCAATGTCATTGGCCAGTTATTTTTAGCATCGTCTATTAATCAGAGAATTAGAAGCCAGTTGGCGAAAGGGTTTAGAATTTTCATCGTAACAGATTTTTAGTATATTTTGGGGGGTCCAATTCCGTTGAAGGGTCACCTAGGTTTATCGTGGTGTCACACACGAGTGAGTGAGATTTAGTGGGTATGGTTTTACGCCCCCTTTTAGCAATATTACAGCAAAATCACGACGGGTGAAACACAAACAAATGCCACCTTGTTCGCAGTTGACCTTATAACAAATATATTGTCAACAAATATGGCTATATATTATTTCTATGTATCATATCAATCCTCCACACATACGCTAAAGCACGTTACAATAAGAAGGAGCTATATTTGAAATGCATATTTGATTCTTGTACACAGCAGAAATTTAAGCATCCTCAAATAAATATTATGGACAACCTAAACTGCTCTGGTCAGTTTTCTCGAGGAAATCTAAATGTTTTCTTCATGTGTTTTTCACAGTACATATGGACTGAATTTATTGGGGAAATATTTAATTGGTTTAGAAAATATCCAATCCAATGTTATGAAAACCGTTTTTTAATACCTCTGTGAGTGAAGATCCATTTTAGGTTTCTAAAGTATCGATACTATTCAGACAACATGCCTATTAATATGTCAAACACTAATATAATATATGATATCAAAATGCAGAAACATATTAAGCCATGGAGAATCTGCCCCCTGGAAGGATTTCATTTTGGCGTATGAACATCAGAACGACTTTAAACAAGAACGATAACTCTATTAATGTTTGATTACTCAATATCAAGGAAGCACGCGTATATTGCATTGCTGTTTTCGTTTTTGGTTTTATTTATTTATGTTAAAGATGTAAACCTCTTTTATCCAACTGAAAGGAGAATAACTTTTGTCAAACACATATTCTAATGTAATTATTTCCAGCTGTTCACCATATAGTTCCAAATATATATTTCTATATAGGGTTTAAGAATCACAAACGGATTTTGTTTTATTGAATATGCAAATAAATAAAACAAATATCAGCTACAATAAATCCCAAAGCCGATAATCAAAAGTGACTTTATAATATTTTTCAAACTGAACATTCGTGAAACCTTGCTGCCATACTCCTGGTGGAATTTTAGAATGAATACGCTGAAAAAAATATGAATGACCCAAAAAATGTCAGTGTGAAATACAATAGCTTAATATTTTTTTGCATTTTGATGTCACGAAAGAGTCTCCATTTTAAGAACTGTTAGTTTCGTGATTTCACAGCGACTGACACCATGACGGGACAGAAAGGTGACAGATGTGGCCCTGACATATAGATTTGTGTATATTTCGTTGAAAATTGTGTATTCTGAAATTGATTTCATCATGTTTGATAGGCTGTTGTGACCAAGTGCCTGTGCTGTTACTATAAGTGGTGTCGGAGCATTTGTTTGGAATTTCTCGTGATCTTTGAATGGGAGCCGTTTTCTGATGGACATATCATCTTCTCCTGTCAAATCCTTACGCTTGTGGTTGACATTTTCGCCCATGGGCGCGCGAGTGTAAATTTTGAGTTTTCGAAAAAAGTTGTTTTCATTTTGTCATCCTTAGCATATATTCATGACAACTGCAGGTTTAGTTTTGTCAAATCCCTTGCTAGAAAGTGGCCACAGTGCGGAGAGTTTCTGGTCTTTTGGGTGTCTAGAATTAAACTGTGATATGTTTATATTATTCCTCAGTACAGTGTCACGTACCCTTTACTCTTTCCATGCAAGTACAAGGCTTACTGACTCTGATGCAGGGAAACTCAGACTTGGTTAAACAACAACAAACCTCATCAAGAGTATCTAGCACCTGACGAAATAGTTTCTCTTTTAAAAACTTGGATCAGAATCTCGGCATCTACGTTGAATATTTTTGGAGAAGAATGCGGAAGTGAAACATAAATCTTGTTCATTGCATCCTGGGCTATTGTCCACACTGCCAAACCAAGGTCTATCACTGCTTCTCTTCAAACTGGATAAGCTTTGTGTATATATGCATCACCACTTTGCATCTACTCGTTGTACGATCTGTGAAGTTCCAGGTTAGAATTGGTCTTCAGGAGCCTATGCTTGTTGTCAGAGGCGAGTAACGGCATCGGGTGGTCAGGCTCGCTGTCTTGGCTGACACCCCAATGCTTATAATGCTGATCACTGGATTGTCTGGTTCAGACTCCATTACATGTATTACTGACCAACACCATATGGCTGGTATATTGCTGAGTGCGGCGTTAAACAACAAACCAACCAACATGTTGTACAGACATGGATTTTCATCATACACTAATGTGTAAAACGTGAATCATCTGCTGACAAACTCAAGGTAAAGATGCATTCAGAAGTTGCAGCAGTAAGGAAGGAAAACAATACATGGATGAAGAACTTCTATATTGCTGTGAGAGCGAAGTTTCAGTGAATGTTTTAACGCCATCAATTGCTTGATAACGGTGTTAGAACCTACACCGAAACGTGGCTCTCGCTTTAGTCAAGACGTCGTTCATCCATATACTGTTATCCTTCCTCAAGGTAAAGTCAACTAGGAACTGTTGTTGGATACTTTATTAAGAATGTGGCAGATATGTATCCTAGATGGATTCAAAATCATCCGTGGCATAGGAATCATTGCCGCAGTAACTCCTGGGACAAAGGACAAACCCCTTTTCCAGGGTGTTCAACTACCTCAGGAGATGTCTGGGTTTGACATATTGCTATTCATGTTTTTCTATCAAACAGGCAACAGTGTGCCTGCCTTTGTTTACGATGCAGTCAAGGATGATGTTGATAAAGATCCATCATGGATTTCTTTAGATGCTCTGCGGAAAGTATCATGGTCATTGCGAACAGCAAGGATTGGATGGTCCAGCATGATGACCCAGGCATGTGAAACATAGCATAGCTTTATCATGTCAAGAATATTCAAGTTTCATCGTGTCAAGAATATGACAGCTTTATGATCTCAGCAGTATTAAGGCCTCGTACATGATACTTTATCAGTATCAGCACACACTGTAAAAGCTTTATTTCAACAGTTCGTTCTCTTGAAGTTCGTTATTGTTTCTGTTCTGAACCAGAATCCAATACTTTCATCTTCCTTTCCAAAATCCACCCAAGCCCTTTCCAAAATCCACAAAAAGCCTTTCCAAACTCCACACAAATCAGGTAAATATTAACAAGAAATATTTTCTAAACGTGAGGTCATTAAACAATTCAGACAATGGCAGAAAAAATCTTAAGGAAACTATGAAATACTGATGGTAAAGTAACAGGGAAAAGCTTCGCGCTGTTCACTGAGAGCACTGCACAAACACATGTAAAGACAAGTCAAGTGTCCATCGGAACACAATCTCCCTCCACATATCGACCATATTAGATTGTGAAATCTTTACTGAGGCTTTGCATGTTGCGGGTTCACAAAACGTCCGTAAAAATGTCGTAAGACATGTTTGTTACATCTGCATTGTCTTTATAGCATGAGTGAGGCTTTCTTGCTCTGCGGCGTCCATTTGTACCTCTTCGTTGTTCTCTTGTGGGATGAATGCTCTAGTCAGTTTCTGGAAACAAGTTCAAAATTAATAATATATGCTTACACCACGCCAAAGAAAGTAGTGCAAGTATAGATTTTCTCACATTCAATATCACTCTTCCTTTTGGAAGACATATTTAAAGTCACAAAATCAGTATTTAGCCACTACAAAATTTCATCCACAAAATACAAACTACTACAAAACAACAAACACCCGAGGTGTAGTCAATACTGTATCCCTAGATCATCATGGGCTCCATTCCCTTCCAATATTACACAATTGGCAGTCGAAATGAACGTGCCGTCAGTCAGTGAAGTACAAACATGAAAGAATACGTTGCTCTTCTCCATATCCCAACCAATTTGTTGTTGTTTTCTGCCGTTATTGAAATATGTTTTGACACGATTACGTTAATATGTTACCTGCTTGAATGATGTTCCATCCGACTTAAAAACCGAGTACACCATCCAACATGGCGTCGGCAGAACAATGGCTACCGATATAAGCCAGCCAAGCACAGTTGCCCATTCCGGATAGAAATAGTCGCCATATTTTGGAGGGCGGTACACGTAGAAGGCGTACACGAGTATAGTCTGGAAATATTTCATAAGATTGTTTTTTAATATTCACACAAGCACAACTCATCACAAAGAACACACAGTAACTTAAACATTGGAAAAGATAGGTTATTTAGATATAGAGATGAATTTGAGATTTGTTCGTGAAGGTGTGCCCTACCATCAGCAGCCCCGGGGTGATGTATTTTGTGAGGAACGTCAACCATCTAGGAATGGTTTGGCCATACATCTCGACTGTGCACACGTTAACTCTGATCAAACCTGTAACATAAATCATATATAATGTGCACACGTTTTACAGGTGTTTGATGACGTCACTGGGTTGTTGTAAATTACGTTTGTCTTCTGTTTCAGAGCAAAAGCGTAATACCTAAACATTGGAACCACAAATCTATTTCTTAATTGAAATTTGTCCCTATTTCAGTTGTTTGCATTGCTTTCAGTTTCGATTTTTCTCTCGTTACTTTGATTGTTGTACGAGCAATTAATCGGAATAACTACCAAAACACTTGGAATTATCAGAAAATATTTGAAAAGAGGAGAAATAACTCGAAGCAAAGTGAATAGTTCGAAACTTCTCAATTTTTAAACTAAAATTGTCATAACGAGAAAATAATCGAAATGACGAATATATAAGCAATGTTACGAGAAAAGACACGAAATTTAGATAAATTAATTCCCTAATATGAATTTTGATTTTAAAACTATGCAACCCAGACATGCCACCAAATTCAAAGTGGCACTCATATGTTTCATTCAGATTCCATTGCTTATAGGTAGTATTTTGGGCGAATGCTGTTTTGATGGCATTGTAGTTTAAGCTGTTTATATTTGTTCGCTTGTTTTGCTATTTTTGTTAGTTAACACTGCTGAATGCATTTTCCATTGCTACGGTTTTAATGCGAAGTATTATATTAGGTATTCTATCCAGGCGTTACCGTTACACACCATTCTTAAAGCTTTGAAATATGTTTTTGGTCTAAAATATATATTATAGTTACGAAACTCACTTCAGTTAATATTTCTGGGTGAAACCATATGTAGTGAGTGATATTATGAAGATCTTACCAACCACCCAGGCCAGGACAACACACTCCACCACCCCAAAGAGCATCACAGGGGGCACAGCGGAGTACCAGTCAACGAGGGTCAGCATGTAGATACCACCCTGTTAAGAGAATATGTTACAGTCACAGGGGGCCATGTGAACACAAGATTCCTTTCAGTTGAATGTGAGAATACGCTGCAAATATTCCACGCATATACATGGCTATAAATGAGTTAAGAGATAACCGTATCACATTTCTTTAGTTACAGGCCATCATGTTATTTCAAACGACTTTTGGCCAAACGTACAATGGCCAGGTTTACAGCATTCAAACCTTGGAAACTTGTTAATTATGATCGAATCATGACAAATGTCAAAATATGAACTGTTGGTGCATTACAAAATGCCTGGAGTATTCGAAGCATCACAAATATCGATGTCCAAACGGTTGGATTAATATAAAACAACACGAATCATCAAAAATATGGAAATATTAACTGTTGGAGTATTACAAAAATGTCTGGATACTTCCAATCATCACAAACGTCGAAATAATAAAACTTTGAGATCTTATAAAATGCCTGGGTTATTCAACTCATCTGTTGGTTTGTTCAAATTCGTTTCACATTTTATGCTCCTTCACATACCAAGCCCAGTGGGTGATCTCCCTTAAAGGGACGTGATGTCACTGTTGATGTGTATTGATACGACCATGTTATATATGATGAAATCAATACCTGTGTAGTATACGGGAGGGTCAGAATGAATGAAGGAAGGAAGACGAGAAGGAGAAGTAGCCAACGGCGTTTAGTCAGTTTAGGGAACCGGTCACCGATTGCCTCCGACAGTATCTCCAAACTCGGCATCTGGAAAACATAACGATTTTCAGAAATGAACATACACAACAAATATACAGGTATATATGTGTTTTGGTAACTAGAATTATTTGACAGCCAGAAGAACATTCATTCATTGATTCATTCATTCATTCATTTCAGACATAACCGATCTTTTTTCTTGATATAGTATCCTTTTAATATATCGAGATAAATCCGTTTAAATCAGAACTAAAAACAATATGATATAAAACAGTTTTACAAACCGTTGTATCAAGGCCTAAAGTCATCATCATAACGAAGACAAGAACAGACCACAGCTGGGGTAAGGGGAGATAAGTCACTGCTTCCGGTAACACCGAGAACGCCAGATTGAGGCCTGAAGGTGCGAGAAAGATGGTTGCATTTGCAAATGTGCATGCCTCTTACAGTGAAATCAGATACCCTGTGTAAATACGTTAACGTATAATGTGCTGTCATGCGTTACATTTGGTCACAGGATAACTGTGTGTACGCTTAAGGTAATGCTGGATCTTAGAATTGGTCCCCAAGTTTGTCGTAAGACGCGACAAGGGTTTGGGTGGTCAGGCTAGCTGACTTGATTGACACATGCCATCGTATTCCAAGTGGCTTAATCGATCCGTATTAAAATCTTAAGCAACCCATGTTTGTCGTAAGAGGCGAGTTGCGGGTTCGGTTGTCAGATTGGATGACACATGTCATCGTATCCCAATTGGCTAAATCGATCCGTATTAGAATCTTCATTAACCCATGGTTGTCGTAGGAGGGGACTTACGGGTTCAGGTTGTCGAGCATGTTGTGTTCCCCAATGTGCGTATCGATGCTCATGATGTCAATCACTGGATTGTTTAGTTCAGAGCTGATTATTGACAGACTCTACACAATTAACACAAACAGACACACATATAAACTGACAAACCTGAGGACTGGAAGTCGTTCATGCTGGCTCCGGTCACGTACGCCATGTGCCCCAACACCGTGAAGATGGACAGTCCACAGTAGATGGTTATCAGAGGGTCAGCGATACAAGCAATCAGCGCCAGTCTGGTCATACGATGTCAATATAAAATTATGAATCTGATCATATCGAATGTGTGCTTGTTTGCTGTTTAACAATGTTCTGCAATACAGATTGCCAAGGCGGTAGGGGAGCCTTATGATCAAAGCGTCCACTCGTCAACACCGATCACCCTGATTCGATTCCCCAAGTGGGTCATGGTTGAAGTCAATTTCTCCGCCCGTCTGATATTGCTGGAGTAGTGGTAAAAGCGGCGTAAAACCATACTCACTCATTCACTCACACACATACCTGTAGCAGTTGCTGTTTGGCTGGTTGTGACTGGACATTGTGTTCGCAATCCCCTTACTTGCCCCCATTGAATGAAGAGCGTAGCCACAAGCCTCTATCCAGATCTGTAATGGAGAAGATGAACATGCCTCCAATAAAACACAAACTCCTTTCAAAATATATACAGACACGTGAAGACCCGGGTTAGAATCGACACACTAAAAATATAGAACGTGTCCAGATATGAAGCCGGGGCGATAGCCTAGTGTTTAAAGCGTTCGCTGGTCAAGCCGAAAGGTGGGATCGATTCCCCACATGGGTACAGTGTGTGAAGCCCATTTCTGATCTTCCCTGCCGTAATATTGTTGGAATATTGTTAACATCGGCGTAAAATCATTTACTCACACCAGATACAGATGCAAGATAGGCTTAGTCCATGGTTAAACAAGACACTGACAATTTTAGAAAATATTCACTACAAACAGCCACACGTGTGTAAAGACTACACACTAGAAACTTGCAGACAGTGAAACTCTGAACCTACCGTGGGGCTTGCCAGCTTTGTTAAGTCCGGTTTCAACATGTAAAGAAGTCCGTCTATTGCCCCAGGCAGCATGGATCCCCGGATGAGTATGATGGTGCACAGAAGGAGCGGGAGCATGAAAGTCACGTACACAATCTGGAATGAAATCCATTCAAAAATTAATTTAATTTCTACATTTCTGTACAAACTTCACCTGATCACTAACATTCTTCTGTCACACTGAATGCGACATCTTCAGTCGTTCTCATTGAAAATCAAAACAAATCTGTACAGTCAAACACCGTTGTGTCGAAGTTGGAGTGAGTGAGTGAGTTGGATTTTACGCCGCTTTTAGCATTGCTCCTGCAATATCTCGGCGGGGGACACCAGAAATGGGCTTCACACAATGTACCCATGTGGGGTATCGGATCACCAAACCCCAAAGACTTCAACACATCGAAGTTTGACACAACAGTGTTGATCATTTTCATCCCCTGTGATAAACCAAAGGAAATGGATCACTTAACCAATAAATTCAATTCTCATGTACTTTTTTTAAAGAATATATACCATGACAACAGAAGAAGGTTAAGAAAGTGGACGTTGTTCATTTTCGTTTTAGTTTTCGTCCAATATTTAAACAGTACCTTTCCCGCCACCCGGATGCCCTTGACCGACATGATATACATTGCAACATAGGTCAAGGCCAGGCAGCCGAACAATGGCCACCGAATGGAACCTAACTGGTCGAGACCGCTTGAGATATCCAGTGCATTAAACCTGAAACAGTTATGTTCAGTTAACAAACAGTGTGTTATAACTAAAAACAATTATTTGTTTGTTTGTTGTTTAATGCCGCACTCAGCAATATTCCAGCTGCATGTCCACGATCTGTAAATAATGGAGTCTGGACCAGACAATCAAGTGATCAAGCATCAATCTACACAATTGGGATACTGGGATGCATATGCCAAGTCAGCGAATCTGACCACCCGATCCCGTTAGTCGCCTCTTACAACAAGCATGTGTTGCTGAAGACCAGTTCTAACCCCCACATTCACGGATTAAAAACAATTCGCAGCAGATGTTGCACACAACAAAACTGTTTGTCCGTACCATCTTAACATGGCGAATGAATGGACCGTTTTTATACACAAAGCGAAAATACATATGCCGGAACAAAATTTGCTGTCTGATCAAAATATAGTATTTCCTCACCCGCACAATCTTCGTATCTAAAATAAAGAGAGTGTTGTTATATTTAGCACATATTATGTTTGGGATTACACTTTCTCAGTAAAGTACAGATTCTAGTATTTTTGTTGGGCTGAGTCCGGTCTGGGAATCGAACCCAAACTCTTACATTCAGGCGCCTCATCGCCAGCACACAAACTAGCCATCTAACCCACTCAGCCATCGCCGCTTCAAAAAAATGGAAGTCGTACAACTGGTAGTCTTGACCACGGACTTCGTGTACCCTCTGCTGGCGATTAGGTGCCTGGCTCTGAGAGGGTGGGTTCGAATCCCGGATGGGACTCGATCCAACAAAAGTACAAGACTGATTACTAAGAAAATGTAAACCCAAATATAGCATGAGATACATTTGACCACTTTCTAAGTGACATTGTGTACTTATTGACATATCAAAGGATCGGTCAATGTTGCATACAGCTGTGTCGACAATAACATCGTTGTGTCGAAGTTCAAATAAATAAATAAATAAATAAATAAATAAATGGACACAGTCTTAAATAATAAATGAATAAACAAATGAATAAATGAATGAATTAATTAATAAAAATAAATAAATAAATAAATAAATAAATAAATAAATAAATAAATAAATAAATAAATAAATAAATAAATAAATAAATAAATAAATAAATAAATAAATAATGCTAAGGGACACAGTCTTTTCTTTGACACAACTGTACGTTCGACACATCAAACTTCGACACAAACGTGTTTGACTGTATTGTGCGTAACCTGCCTCCAGAATTCTTCAGTGGCGCTGGCAAAACCATCAGTGGACATATTCAGGAGATCCAACTTCGTAGTGTTTATGTCACCTTGTAGATATCCAGTGCCATTCACCGTGGTGTTCATCCCAGCATGCCGCAGCGTCGACTCCACACAGCTGGGCGTGTTCCAGTAGTTGCCACACGTGGACCAGGGCAAGGGGTTGAGGAAGGAGTTGAAGAAGAAGTAGAGGTACCAGGAGAAGTACATGGAGGTGTACATGGCGTACACCCACGACACCAACGCCGAACCCAAACCCAGACCTGATCGAATGACGCAGTTAATTGATGAGATATTCAGTATCAACTGAGAGTTTTTAAACAGAATACTTTCGCAGTACATATCAATAGCTATTAGAATTAATGGAAACGCACCTTGAAACCAACTCAAACAGTGAATAACCATTTGTGACAAGCTTTGAGGCCCTTTCGACCCACAATCTGACTGACCACACAAGACTACACAATACCATTAGCATAATTTCACAAGCACAATCCTTCCAGAATGTTAAGATCGGCAGATAGACACCTTCTCACCATTCCCAGACAGAAACTCCGGGCATTCGGGTTTCGCTCCTTCAGCTATGGTGCTCCACAGTTGTGGAATCAACTCCCGACTGAACTCAAAATGTCTTCTTCCACTGATTCATTTAAAAGTTCCCTGAAAACCCATCTTTTCAGAAAATATTACAATCTATAACTTAACTTTCCAAAACTTTCACCCTCGTTCTAGCATAAGCTTTGCTTTGTAAATATGTAGCGCTTTGAGCATGCCTTATGTGTGGAATTCAGCGCATTATAAATACACATATTATTATTATTATTATTATTATTATTATTCTTTAGACCCGATGGTAAATTATTTATGTTGCTCTTATCACTAATATATAGAATATGATATAACCATGGATCTCCGACTGCAGAAACAGCTTTAGAACAAAACTGTGATGACGCCAGTGTAACAAATCTGTTAATTCAAGATCAAGATGGTTTATTGTACATAAGGCCTCCGGCCCGTATATATAGTGTTATAATGACAGGCAAAGTATGGACATTGCTGAGAGGTACCAGGAAATCAGTTGGCATGAGAAATCGGACTCTTCCTTATCGACAGCGAATGTGAATTACCTGCCCTTGTCAAAGATGGACGCACGGCTTTGAGCTCCCACTCTGTTTATACATTTAGTGAGGCACCGTCACGTATAATAAACCAATAAGTTGCCAGCGACGTGTCTAATGTGTTAAACAAAATTCTAGAGTCATCATGATATCTCTGGAATAGTACAGGGCTTCGACTGGGCTTTTCAGGCAACCCCGGGTACGCGTCAAGTCGAATTCAACAACAACAGTGAGTACTCACGATTCGTCCCCAGCTCAGATGTTCATCTTCGAGTATTTGTGTGCTCAATCCTATTATCCATCAATGTGTTGCTTTCCCAAGTTGTGATTAATGTGCTTAACAATATGAACAATATAGAATCTGGTGCATTTTCCCCATCGAAATGAATTTTCAAAGGAGATATTGTCACTGACGTCACAGCTTTGGAATGTGGCTGTGCCCCACTTTCCGCACATGTTCCTCTTGCAACAAACCGGTGTCTCCAATATGGCTTACCTGTATCCAGTGGTGTGATAACTCGGAAACTTTTGTGCTCAGGTGGTATTAAGCTTAATCCAGGCCCAGTAGCATTGGAGAAGGTACAAGAAACTATCCTGAAGGAAATACGTGATGTCAAAACAGACCTAACCAGTAGGATTGCTTCCCTTAGAACCGACGTGCAAACGCTAACGTCTAAGTGTGACCAGATGGAAACGACGATAAGCGGCATACAGAAGGAAATAAGTGAAGTTAAACAGAGTAGCAGCATCATGTACGATGACATTGATGCACTATCAGAGTAAGTTGACTTTATGCAGACGACGATTTCAAATTTCGATGATTGAATTGACCGAGTCTTAGCCGTTAGCCGACGTGACAACGTGATCATATACATGGTGTACCCGAATGCAGTGATGAGGATCATGTGATGTGCAAACAGAAGGTGGTCAACTTGATGAGTGAATTTGTCAAGATAAAGAGGTGGCAAACATCGGACCTCAGTCGTGCTCATCGACTCGGGGTTAAAGGTCCAGGTTCCGATCGACTACGACCCTTCAACGCCAGAACGGAGTTCACAGCCATAGGGGCGTGGCCAAGGCTCGGGCGATATTAACCAGGAAACTCTTCTAACAGCGATACCGGCGAAAATGATAACGCTGATGACTTTAGTTTTACTTAAATAACTAAAGCTAAAGCCCTCGCAGGGTTTAATTAAATAACTACCTTGTAATGGTGATTAACCTATACATACCGGTGTACATGATAACGCTGATGACTTTAGGTTTTGTAACAGCAACAAAACTACGTCTGTCAATGAGGGCGTAAACGTGCGCTTTCTATCATGGAATTTAAACGGACTCATAGGTAAATATCAAGACAAACTTTATTAGCTATATAAGATCATTCGACACTGTGTGTCTAACAGAAACCTTCCTTAGTACAATACCACAGCATTGGTTTACATACTTCGATTATGTTTTGCACCTGCTTTTAAACTGGCAAGATATGGTCGTATATGAGGTGGTGTATGCGTATGTATAAAGGAAAAGTTCAGTGAGCATTTTCAGAGAATCACGACGGGTGTGGATAATTATATTTGTATAAAGCTTTGCAAACATGTTTTGGCTTTACCAAGGATATTGTACTTATCTGTGTATATATCCCTCCCACGGCTTCAAGTTATTATCACACAGTTAACGTCTCTTGCGCACTCGATAAGCTCGAGGAGTTCCTATTTGAAAATAGTTGTTCCTTTAGTAATTGTGCAATTCTTCTTTGTGGCGATATGAATGCTAGAACTGCAAGTGAGAATAATCCTTGTACACATGAGGCTGAAGCCGAGGCTGACGATATCATTGGTTCTCCCTGTATTGATGGGGATTATGATCCTGTCAGCGAGAGGAATTCCAGTGATGGTGTGTTGAACGCTTTTGGTCGAAAATTGTTAAATATATGCTACATTGTTAATGGAAGAGTACCTGGCAATGCTAATGGTTAATTTACCCTCGTAAGTTCACCAGAGTTTTCCGACATCATAGCTATGTTAAATGTGGGACAACGTCTTGAATCTGACCACCAGCCTTTGGAGTTTTTTGTTACTTTCCTAATTTGCTGTCAGATAAACAATCAGGCATTGCACTTAATGTCGCGGAAACGTACAGGTGGAACACTGCTTTATCAGATTGCTTTAAATCCTGCTAAACAGACAAAGCTAATGCCCTTTTCCATAGTTTAACTGAATATATTGATAGTAATCTAGATGATGCTGTTAGTCAGTTCGTAAGTCATATACTGGATGCAGCCAAATGCATGAAAAGACCTGCAGATAGATGCCATATGTTAAGACGCCAACCTTTAAACTACGAGTGTAGGTCCGCAAAGCGTGACGCGAGGAAGGCGCTTAGGAAATTTAGACTTACACGAAACGACTACAATAAAAAGGCTTTTGTACTTTGAGAAATAATGATAAAGAATCATGCAGAAAATATCAGAGCAAAACAAGAGATCTCCGATTGAAAAAAAATAAGCACTTTCATTCAACATTCTGGTAAATTTTGGCGGGAGATTCGTTCCTTGAAAAGTAAAGATAATGTGGCTTGTGATATAACAACAGATCAGCGGTTCGCACACTTCCGTTCTGTCACATTAATATTCTTATGAAGATCTTGATTGTAATGATACAACTAGGTTGCTGGAAACTAAGGCTAGTTTGGAGACCAGTGGTTATACAGAACTTGATGCCGAAATCCTTGATTCAATAATAACCGAAACCGAAATTGTCGATGCCATAGGAAATCTTAAAAGCGGAAAATCACCTGGACCGGACCAGATTTTAGTGGAGATGCTAAAAGCTTCCAATGACCTTATATTGCCATTTTTGCATACAAACATTTTGCGTAAATGCTTGTATGCGCAGCAATGGAGGATTCACTGACTAATTTGCGTGCCCATTGGATGTGAAGCAAGGATGTTTGTTAAGTCCTATTGTTTTTTCCTTCTTCATTAGCGAATAATAAAATGAAAGAATTCATTAAGGCAAACATGGTGTACAACTATATCCTGATATTTTTGAGATTTTAATGTTACTGTTTGCTGCTTTAAAACAATGATTGAACCTGAGAGATACCTATCAAACATTACAAGCAAGAAACTTAGAAATACAGTTATTAGATTTAGACTTGGCTGGAGAGATCTAAGATTTAAGATTTTGCCCTGTTTGTATGGCAGATATCGAAGACGAATATCCTCTGTTATTTATATGTGATGCTTATGCTGATATTAGAAAGGAGTATATTCCACAGAAATATTTGGGTCACCCTACAAGGGAAACACTTATAAGAATGGTATCATCAGAAGACGAAGCTGTCTATGTAAAATTAGCCCTGTTTTAACACAAATCTGTTAATTAACATCTGGTACCTGTTTGTCACATCCAAATTGAAATTCGGGTACCGTAAAATACACAAAGGACTAAAGACCAAAAGGAAACCAGTCCCATGAAACTGAAATCCAATGAATAAAGCTACACGTAAACGTTGTTAGTAAGATGATAAATTCATTTCTGCGTAACAGAGAAGTGATCACCCATCTGACAAACCATTTAAGATAATAGCAGATAAACACAAATGCTTATTTTCCCCCAAAAGGCTTGAAGATGTTTATTAAACCTATCGGTTCATACACCGAGGCAAAGAATCCAGTGGCTTAAAACAATGGCAATCGGTAATGTAAAATTAAACCTCGTATCATAATGTACAGGAAACAATGTCAAGAAAACAGTCCCAAAATGTCAATACCTTTCATGGCGGGGCAAAATTTCCACACCTCAACTGGGCCTCTCTGGTAGTACTGCCCGATGACGACCTCTTGGAAGTATAACGGAAGTGAACAGAGACCCACAAAAAGCAGATAGGGGATCAGGAAGGCGCCTGAAAGGAGGACAAATTGTATCTTTGTTTGAGTGAGTGAGGTGTTAGGATTGTTGAAGTCAAGACAAAGACATCAGGAATCGGCTTCAGATAATACTTTTTAAGGGGAATTGACAATGACACAGTGAATTGAATTTTCTCGCGTTTTGGACAATTTTCAAATCAGAAATATACATGCTTCAATGCAAACTTGCACACCATGAAGTTTAAACCATTTTGTCAATTCATTTGAAAAAGAGCCTACATCACTGATGTTGATATTCAAAAGTATGAATATATATCTCATATTTATGAAAATCATTTTGGAAATTCAGAAAATGGATTCCACATACATCACTCAGATTATATCTTTCTCTAAAACCATCGTCATGCAATACAGCTTTCACCAACCTCTAATAAGAATTTATTTTATTTTTTGCTATTCTACTTGCGATTTTATTCTAAATTAAACGCGTCAATTTGGTTTGGGCATTTTGTTTTCTTTGTTTTGTTTATTTGTTGTCTAACGTCACACTATTCCAGCCATATGACATTTGTCTGACTCTATCATCGAGTCTGGACCAGACAATCCAGTGATCTATGCTGGATACAATGACATGTGTCAGCTAAGTCAGCGAGCCTGACCACCCGATCCCGTTAGTCGTCTCTTACAACAAGCATAGGTTGTTGAAGATCAGTCCTAAACCGGATTTTCACTATTGACCCCTAATGATCATGTATACGTACCTCCGCCGTTTCTGGCGCACAGGTAAGGAAACTTGAGCAAAGTTCCATCTCCAACGCTGTAGCCCAACATAGTGATGATGCCATCTACTCTATGTCCCCACGTCTCTCTTGTTTCTGCAAGTGTCATATGTATGTATATAAAAGTGACAAAACCTTTCCAGATCCATAGGAAATCTCTTCTTAATTCAGAGTCGGTTGTACGAGTCCGACTATACCATGAATATGTGTTTGTTTGTTTCTGTCTAACGCCATACTCAGCAATATTACAGCTTGGCGGCTGTCTGTAAATAATCGAAGCCAGGCCAGACAATCCAGTGACTGACATTGTGAGATACACAGAACAAGAATCACTATCACATAGTGATGATACCAGTTCTTTAAAGAACATTTCTTTGCATCATGTGGTTGGAGAGAGTTCAGTTTCATAACTCTGAATAGAATGTGACCTTTACGCTAAATGGAATCTATAACTGAAGATGGTCAAGACTTGGTATTCATATGTCCCTTTTGAATGTCACAGATACACTCTTAAAAAATAAACGCATAGCTGATTTTGAGAATATTGAACTCACGTAGCTCCAGCGCCGGATCTCAACCCCCAAATTATGATGTATTGGAACAAGAATGCCATCAGGAAACGAACGCAGTACCTCTATGTCAGATTCAATATCTTATAAAATCAATGAGGAGGATGGCGGAGGTTACACCAGATATTCACATTGTCCTCGGTTAACGATACTAATGTGATTTCTTGAGAATTGTATGCCAGAATCTTGAAAATAACCGCACTTGTTAACTTCATGCGACCATAGTTATCAGCACAACATAATGAGTCACTTTTTTTGCAATGCTTCTTCTCTGATTGGTCGGTTGGTTGTAAATAATGAAGTCTGTATCAGGCAATCCGGTGCTCAACAACATGAGCATTGCTTCCCTGAATGAACTACAGTTTTCGGTTATTTGGGGGTTCAGATTTGCATATTGAATTACTCTTTGAGAGTCAATGTATCACGATATGAGTGAAATTGACGTTTGGATAAGTTCCTTTGCTGTGGTTAACGGTGATACTATGACAAATATGAGCTGTTGCAATACTTTTCTATATGTATATATATCGATGATTTGATGTTTTTATGACGTGCCGCCATATTCCTTTTTCACTGACGTTCATCTTGATGACTCGTTCACCCATTTCACGAATCAACCTTATTTCAGGCCACCAAACAAGGTCATTATCGCAAGCCAATACCATGGCTCCAACAGCAAAACAGAGATTAATTTCGAAATATGTATTGAAGCTTTTATAAAGTATTTCGCCCTACCGTAAATATCTACATAAAGTGAACACAGCAACTAAATAGATAAGTGCCTCTGGGTTTCACACGATAAGAACACACAACCAAATATACAAAGTTTCACAAAGATAAGATATAATGTAATAACCAGGTTTGCTGACCTACCTGAGCGAACACTCGTAGTATGTTGGTCTTCGTCGGACATGTTGGAATTTCTTGTTGGTCCCGTTTCCTTTCCCTCTAAAATAATTTGTTACAATGTAATATTTCACAATCTTGTTTTACGTCATGTGAACAAGAACAAACATTTCCAGCTACTTCAAAAAGCTGTAGCAAACACATAACCGTAGTTCGCATATACAGTACCCAGCAAGTGACCACCCACCCCACCCTCTCCCAAAAGAGATCGTTATATCTGTCTGTTCGTTATAAGCTTATAAGCTTATTCACTCAAATCTTCAAGGAGGAAGGTATCAGAGATCAAAATACAAGTTTATTGCTCCAGATTTCAATTTACTTAAATGTATTGAATATTTGACAGCCGAATCCAGAAAGCGTCTTTAATATAATGCTAGTTTTGAATTCATTTACCATATTGAACGTAGAAGTAGAAGGACAGTCAGACAGATACATAACTTAGCCTAACCTCGTACAACAGATGCAACATACAGACAATCAATAGGTTGTCGAGCCAACCATTTAGGGTTATGGAAGACTATATACACCAATAGCATTCTAAAATAATACATATACAACTAAAATATCCCAACTCTTGCACCGTTGAATACATCTTGATGTAGAAATGTTTTCCATGGTTCTGATAAAGGTTAGCAGTTTAGGGTGATAAATACCTCAGTTTAACGCTGGACGCAATAAAGAAAGTTTTGCATCGTCCCTTAAAGCATAATAACATAATACAGCTTTAACTGACCTATAAACATTGCTAGGGCACATGCCATCAACTGTCTTCGATGGGTGTCATATACTTACCACCTAGCAACACCTTCCGAAGCCCTTCTAGCGAGTATGGCTGAGTGTGAAACTGGTTAAATACCCTGGAGCAAAAGCTCAAACACAGTTTTGTCACGTGAAAGTGCACATATGTGATTGGAATAGTTGGCAGCGTCATGCATGCACAATCTAGATCCACACCGTACATTTGGAATTGGTCTTCAGCAAACTATGCTTATCGTAAAAGGCGACAATTTGGATCGGGTGGTCAGGCTCGCTGACATGGTTGATACATGTCATCGTATCCCAATTGCGTAGACCGATATTCATGCTGTTGATCACTGGGTTGTCTGGTCCAAACCTGATTACTTACAGACCGCCGCCGTACAGCTGGCATATTGCTGAGTGCGGCGTTAAAAATACCCGAACAAACAAGAAACCACTTTTTGGATTTCCGTTCCTTCATACTGTGTATTGTGGCGCAATAGAGGATGTTAATGTGTTCCATGTGTCTACAATTACAGCAGTCAGTTTCAGCTGACAGGCGGACAGAAGAGACCTATATTCACTCAAGACTTCATCGTATACCACAAGGAGGAAGGTATTAGAGATCAAAATACAAGTTTATTGCAACGGATTACATATTACTTGAACGTATTGATTATCCGACAGCAGAATCTAGAAAGTATCTTTAAATTGATTATCATATTGAGCATAGAAGGACAGTCAGACAGATACTGTATTAAGTCTAACCTCGTACAACAGATGCAATATAGCGTCAATCAACAGGTTGACGTGGCACCCATTTAGCGTTATGAAAGACTATATACACCAATATGTTTCTAAAATAATACATATACAACTAAAATATTCCAACTTTGGCACTGTTGCATACATCTTCATGTAATGTTTTCCATTCTTGTTATAAAGGTTAGCAGGTTTTGACCTAAACATGTATCATTAACGCTTTACATGATAAAAGAAAGTTTTTCTTTGTCCCTTAAAACGATGAACATGCCAAACATTTCACTGCAGGTTGTTTAAAGAACATTATTAAGACCCAATACCTAAACCTGGACGTGATCATACTGATCCATCAGACTACAGACCTATCTCACTAACAAGCTGGATCAGCAAGGAAATGGATCAGCACAATCATTTCCATTCAGCTCCATATAATCAAAGAGGTCATCAGTTGTCATAAATTGACCAATTCGTCATCGAGCTCCTCTAGCGTCCTTTATGTTGGCAAGGCAACCAAAAAGTAGTCGCACCGCCATTTTGGAAGTGGGCCGAAGCACTTCGAGCTGCTGTAGATCCAGGATGGGCAAATAATCGAAGTGACTTGTGGCTTACGACGCACCTGTTCCGAAGGGTTGTATCTTAGCAATAATACATGGATCTACAGGACATTATTCGTATTTTACACTGATGTGGTTCAAGTTTTATGGGGACATTTTGTTTGGCTACACCAAGCAACATATAAGCAGATTTTGTAGAACCGAGCAATCCCAGGAAAACAGAGGTGGACCCAACGCCATGTCATTAATCCATTCCACACAACCGATGTGTTCGCGTTTTGAAATTGTATCACAACACTCTAGTCTACTCGCCTTATTTGACACCTGTTTATTTATGTAATTAAAAGCGAGTAAAACAACAATGGAAGTACTTTTGAATACATAGTGCTTTCTTAGAAAGTGGTAGCATAATTGTAATAATAAAAAAAAATTGTAACTAGGATTTGAGTCCCTTTATGGACACGAACCCATACTCCCAGAGTGAGATGCCTAATCTTCAGCACTCAAAGTCATTGATTGTGACCATTCAGCTGCCACAGACAATAATTAGTGGTCAGTTTGAGTTCGTTATGACTGCAGTAGGCTTAGAGAATAACCCACGAGGTACGAGTGATTACGGGAAATATGTCCCGAGTTGAAATTAATGTTCACTGTCCCGAACATTAATTTCACGAGGAACATATTTCCCATATTCACTCGTACCTCGTTGGTTATTTTTTTTATTACCCATTCTGTAATTAAACCGAGAAACCAGTACTTATGAACTCAAAGCCGCACCTCGTTATGTGTTTACAACGTAATCAGCCTATCCGTATTAATGCGCAGAGGAAACCAAACGGCTCACGCCTAATGGAATCGCATACGAACCCCAATATAGTACTGTAGAAAACGGTATGAAAAACAACGCAATTCATCAGTTTCCAAATTCGTTTCATAACGATTTTATTACCCACACCCCCCTGTAAAGATTAAGTTTATTTTTAACGAGTACACTCGCATATTTATTATTTAGTCGTAGATCGCAAATGTGTAGCCTAGATCTACTCGTGACAGAAAGTGGGTGGCTGTGGTTGGATACAAAACAGCAAAAACCTGTCAATTTTTTTCAATGTTAACTGATACAACAGTGCAAATCTGCAAGAGAAGAATAAAACGCAGGAATGGTGAACTTTTTTCTAAGAAGACAGTTCACAATTATTAACGTTTGTCAACATTTTGACTTTGACCTAGTTTGGGCTCGCGTCAGTGTCCATGTCAGGAACGATAACTCCAACTTGAGTCTGAGTCCGAGTCGACAACAGGCAAAATACGCCTTTTCGGTGCAGGTGGTTGGTTGAAAGAAGAATCATTTGAAATAGTGAAGTTGAATACTCCACCGTAAATTGGACCAGAAAAAAGAGTATGAACAGCATGGATATCATGGGAAACTGAATTCATCTGGGACATGACTGATTGGGACTGATTCGACTGAGGCTTTGGTGCATTTTGTAGGCAAGGGAGAGACAGGCCTGTGTCACGTGGTGTGGAATCACAGTTGGACGACAGAAGTCTGTTGATGTTTTGGTGTTGTTTTTCATTCATTGTGGAATAACTGTTGATGGATTGAACGTTTTGTGCCCTGACACTTGCATGATCTGGTGAGCTGGAACACCTTTGTCAGACAAAGTTTGAATCATGCGTTTCCTGGCGCTATGGTTTGTCAACCGTTTTTATTAGAAAGAAGTTTAGTGGTGTCAAGGCACGGTACGACTTGTAAACAGCGACTGGACAACACAGATCCCCAGGTTGTGCCCATGCTTTAGGAGCAAGATCGCGAGACTGGTCACCCTGACGGGTTTTTGACTGCCGTTGAATATACTGGAGATATTCTCGGTTCTCTGAATCAACTGTGTTACATCACCCCATTGGATACGCATGTGCGGGGACGCCGATCTCAAGCCAAAATATACCGTGTTGTTCCACCATAATGTGTTTAAAATGGAATCTGACGTGCTGGTGACTAGTTGGCCACATTGACGGAGTTTCTGTAATTCAGTGTCGGATACAGGATCAGCACCGAATGATAGGTTTCCTTTATTTTGATTTTTTAATGACTTGAGTTTTGATTTCAAAACCTCCCTCAGTTTCATGAAATGCATTGACTCGGCTAACACATGTGAGTACCCATTACGCTTCAAATAGCGTTCAACGCTACCCTTTATTCCCCGGAGGGAAGACAGTTCATACTCCGAACCATCAGATTTGCTTGCAGATATGAAAAATTTACATAGGATAGTGTTCAGTTCATGGGGGGCAATGTCTTCAAGTTGTCTTGGATCATTAAGACTCTCGCGAAGAAATCTATAAACAAGATTCATGTCCAATTTTGTCTTTTTCATTGTGTTTTCATTTTCGTTCGCAGCCAAGAAGTTATCAATGTCATGGTCATAAACAGGCACAAACCTGTCAAAAGTTTTGTTTTCGATTGGGGGGTCAAACAAATAATCTTGTAGAAAGTCATTTATGACACTCTGGGGCAGGTGGGGGCTTTGGTGAGAAGCCGACTCGCTCGAGATTGTTTCCAGCAACACTTTCAGTCTGTACCTTGCAAGTTCCATTTCTCCATATTCCGTGGTTATCACATACACGTGAAAGGAATTTAGCGGTTGTGTTATTCTTGTTACACGTCCTGTAATGTCTCCGTCCACCTTGACCAGGTCATTGACTTTGATTGACGTTAACTGGGTAGCCATGTTTGTTTACAAAGACGACTTTATGATTATCAATTTTATACATTTTTTTATTACAAAAAATGTTAAGTAGACGACGCTGTATTGTTAATGAAGTATGAAATAAAACATTAAATTAGCATCAAAATCGAAATCCTGTATGTTGTTTTTGTTCTGTTTTTAAATCTCGAATAAGTGCGATTACATCACGGTCAATTTATCAATGAATCGATGAAACTTTATGA